TTATGGGCGATATGGTTTGTTTGTTTGGTATATAAACTCAGTATGTTTGAAATACAATGATTCATACAACTGAGGCTGTTATTGGTGTTTTGGACTTAACTGGCTGGGCTAAGCAGATCGCAGGACCGGTCAGCACTCTAGTCTGCTCGTACGGGTTTCGTGTCACTGTTCCAGTCGATAATTCGCTGCTCTCTAATTGGCGGTCTCATCAAGTCACCCATTAACTAGTCATCCACTCGGCCACAAGCATAACAGGTTTCTGCTAAATGTGCTGATTTCGATACTGATCAACAAAATAATTGTGTGAAAGTTACCAAATAGATATTGTGATCAAGAGTACCAATTCGGAACAAATAGTTATTTGTGAGATAATAAAGCGAAAATGAAGGTATCAATTAAAGCCGTTATTGAGGCTGAAATTTTTTCTTCATTTTATACTCCTAATATTTGTATTGATTTATGATGTTTAGTATCCATAAGGTTACAATATTATCGTAACTTTCGTATAATCCAGAACGTTTTTGTAATATATCTTTCAATCTGCACATTATTCTTTTCTAATTGTGTCATAACTTTGTTCAGATTTTCATTTTTGAAATGCAGTAGGTAATTTTCATCATGTAGCTCTTCTAGGGTCACTGCCGGTTCCAAGCCCGAATAAAGGAGGAATGTGATGTATGTGGTCAGCAACCAAATCTCGTAGAAAGAAACTTTGCTAAAAAACGCTAACCAGAACAAACAATTCGAACCATTGTAGTATAATAGTAAGCTGATTTAACCATATTACTCCTTGAAATATTAGAATCAAAAGTGTGAAAGTACCATTATTTTATCTATTCATTCCTCATAATTGATTTGCTATATATGAATGGTACGCTTGCATCTAAAATACAAATAAATAATCCGTACCAAAAGAAAGTATACCATAAAGGTTGCCAACAGAAACGCAAAATTTCAGCTAGTAACGTTTCTTCCTCTTATCAGGAGTTCTTTGTTTACAGAGTACTAAAGGATGTCATTGATACTAGAACTACATTAAGAAATTATTTCTCTTGTCTGTAAGATATTTAATAATTAGAGTTACCTGGAAATTAAATGAATTTCATGAAATTTCGTTAGTTATATTAGTTGATCTAGTGTATGACACTACAAAACAAGATGACTTTATGCTTGCTTATCTAAAATTTGTGAACAACATTTTGCAAATAACTTTGTCCTAGGAAGCATGTCAATCTGTAGTCATCCCATATGAATTAGCTAAAACAATGACTGGTAGTAATAATTCCAAGGATTGTTAGTTCTAATATTATCAAACACTTGATATGTCAACATCTGCTTATAAAAATATACCTGTTACTTATATTCACTTATTTGTACAAAATGTGATGGAAAATGTTTCAAGATAATGAACTTCATTCGGAGGATTTTAATAAAAGAAAAAAATATCATATGCGTGTTGCAGTTGATAGACAACATCTCCCTTCATTAAAATACTTTTACTGTTAATGCTAAAACGTGTATTCATCAGCTTTCATTGACTGTGATCACAGAACCTTACTATTAATGTTACTGTACAATGGTATACTGATCGAAATTATATGCTTTTAATAGTCTATCTATATGCGTAGATGTTTTCTACGTGGACATGATTCTTTTATAATGAAAAAGACGGATAGTTTCAAAGTTCATCTAGTTGTGATCAATGTAGGGCCTGGCATGAATCTATATATCGGCACATGTATTACAGTACACGACATCACAAGAAGGGAAATCAACAAAGAATGGAAGTAGATGGGAGGGATTAAATTTAACGTTGGAAATGTCAACAAAGAATAATACACTCATTAGTGAATAACTTCTGGGGAAAAGTTCGAGAGTTTTAGTGAGAAGTAGTGATCAGTAATGCTAAGTCGTATTAGGTATGATGTAGTTACCCACTGAAGATAATGGTAGATAGTTGAGCGAAATTGTGAATTGATTGAAGTAAAACAGATAAATCACTGGATGTCAGCCCATGTCTAAATGTAGAGCGTTCATCGTGAGCTCTCAAGATCCTTGGTTTGATTACCTAAGACGTCATCAAATGGATACGACTGAGCTTCATATTAGTATGAAGCAGCTGTCCAATGCTTTCTGCCTTACAATTGTAGCTTAACTAAGATCAACTTATCAAGTAAACTATCAAAGAAATACAATTCAAAATAAACAAATGAGACCAAAAGACAAGTTAAGAATAACACTTAACTCAAGATTTTTGCTAACGTAGGGAATAAATGCAATCGGGTTACGATTTTGTGCAATATTACTTCACGTCTCTAATCACTGATAGTGAGTACTATGATCGCCCAAAGTAAGAACTCCCCACCTATGAAAATGGATCAGGTCAGTAGCTAACACCTTTATAAATTGAATTATTATACTTGTTAACGTAAACCATATTGTCATCATGAAACAATAGAACAATAGTTTATGACTAAAATCACTTTATTCGTTTTCATAATAAATATCTGAACCAAAGAAAAGGAAGAAACGAATGAGCATATCGATATTAATCACATAAAAAAAATCATTTCACAAATATTAAAAAATATTAGGTAAACCTTTATTAACAGTTATTATTATATATACATACAGGAAAGACATTATTTTACACAATCAAGTACACACAAATCATGAGGGAAAACAATCACAAGGATAAAAAAGATCAGTATGAAAGGAAATCAACAGGGCACTAATACATACATATATATATATACCCGTGACTACAAACACAAATACAAATCTCATTGTTTTTATTATTATTATACAAAAGAAGTATTCCGACACGTCGATTTTGACCATTGTAAAACAACATATGAAAATAACATTATTACACAATAGAGGTTTTTATCGAAATAGGACAAAGGAAATACAAGCGTTTCTTACAAGTCATATTAGTTTTTATATCTGACTGCTTCTTGATAATAAAAAAAGAAATGAGAAGAATACAATAGGACTTATAACATGCCGAAACGTGAGTATATGAGTAAGAGAGAATGATTACGGAAGCTTACTTCATTTTATATCTAGAAATAGGTGACTAACTAAGTATAGGTATATATGTTTGTATTCCCCTCATTTGAAAAGAGAGGAATTTTATAATTTCGATATGTTGAATAGCTTCGGAAGAAGTCACAACTTTTTGTTACGCGTGTGAATAGATGAAATGGCTGATTGTTGAATTGATCTACAAAATGGGATTTGTTAGTGTAAGGAATTTCATTGATGCAATAAAAATATAATAGTGAGAAAACAATTAAATAGCTGTAATGATCTTAATGCACGAATAATGCATGCGTAGTTAGAATAAACAAGTCACTAATTAAATTCGTAAGTGATAGCGAAATAATAAGAAGTTTAGGATGTATATTTTGTTCCACCGAAGGAACTAGTTTATGTGTATTAAAAATAAATAAATTGAAAGCAAGACGTAGAATGCAAAACTTAGTATTTTATCTCTAAAGAAATTAACTCAAACATGCTGGATCTGAGCACAGTATATACCAGTTTGAATATACGTGTCCTGGACGAATTGATTTCAGTTGAATGTAGATTTGTCCAAATGGTATATTTTCACCAATATGAACAGCATGCCAAGCAGAAACTTCAATAAAACCACTCTGTATGTCATTTGGAATGAGGTCATAGGAAAACTATTGATAATATGAAGTTGCCAAATATTAATCGGTGAAAAAAATAGAAATTGGACATTATAATTAGGCAACAGGAAGATGAATTATATAATTTAGACAAAGAAACTCAGAAGTTTACATTGAGAAAAAGTTTGAGACTTAATGAATACATCTCAAATAGATTTTGTTTTACCTTATTCAACGCCAAAATATTAGAATAAAATTGTATTTATAATTCTGTAAACACACTTCTGTATACACTATTCAAGTTTCATCAAATCTAGTTTTTACCAATTTTCAAGTAATTTCGTCTGCTGAATATAATCTTGTGAATACGAAGGTACAATCATTTGTATTGTTATCACTGGGGACAAGTTGCTAATACATATCACATTCAATAGTATAACATCTAACATGATCAATTATCAAAACCATGATATTTAAGTTATCACAGTCTGAGAGCTATTTGTCAATTATTGAACTGCTTAAAACTTTCAGCACTAATATTAACATTCCGTCAAATATATATGCCCTGTAAAACTAATAAATCTTATTTGCTTTGATTAAATTCTAAATTTTAGTCATGTGTTAGTCAAGCGTCACAACTATACATGCTGCCTTGATGGTAGTCTAGTTTTCGTATCATGATGTGTCAATATGGCTATAATAGTTGAACACTTGCTCTATTATGTTCTATCTTGCTAGAGAGGTCGGTTGGAGGACGGTTAGACTAAATGCAAAAAAACGTGCTTCCCAAGGGCGAACTGGAAGTTTGGAATTTATTAGGATGGCGTGGCAGTGAAGTGTTTCTCTCAAACAATCAGCATCTACAGCGATGGTGTCTTTCCATAGCAGAAGAATGTGGTTAGGGAAGATTAGAACTAAAATTAGCACACCCCACCTTAACTCACAAATATCTGTCGCTGGTGATGAAGTCTGAAAAGGAAGGTGTGTGGCCGTCTTCGATGCTCTTAGGTAGCTAAGAATATTATTAATCTAGATTCCTCTTCGTATACCTCAAGGAGGAGAATCCTTCCACGTTGTAAACAATAGCTAACATAAATTCATTTAGTATAGTTTGTTTGAATCTTCCGATCGATGTGTTAGGACTGCAACTGGTCAGTCTCTAATTGGCATATGTGCATACTGTGCGTATTGCCTCGATATACCTTAATTCACAAGCATGGTAGGCAGAGATAGATAGTGGCTAGCAGTGGAATCCAGGACGCGCGTTTCGTCCTATTTTGGATACGTCAACTCTGAGATGCAGGTACATTCAGCTGACGAGTCCCAAATAGGACGAAACGCGCGTCCTGGATTCCACAGCTAGCCACTATCCATCTCTGCTTACCAATAGCTAACATAGCCCAAAATCACACTACTCACGGTTAAATTACATCTTTACTCTTTAATACTTGTTCAGTCAAATAATTAAAATAACCCATTGTCATTGAATAAAAATAAAGAAAATTTAGTGAAGAAAAGTAACTCAAGCTCGAACGCTGTGTGCAAAAACTTCCAACTTCTCATCCTTCCTTGTCCCTAATTTCCTTTTATGGTATGCTCTGGTTTATTATTATTATTATTATTGATTTTTAAAATTAGTGTTTCGTAATTTTAAACCGTAATCAGTTATTATTACCCTCCATATCTGTCAAGCGGACAATTATCTTTCATAATTCTGACCCGTGAATTAATCCCATTCATATATTCTTAACTTACCCCTTGATTATTGCGTACATTCATTTGATAATAAGACTATCGAATCAATTTATGATGCAGTCTTTTCTATCCTTCTATAGAAATATATTTACCATACAACTATAAATACGAATGTACAGCTTGAGTAAACGATTTTATCGAAAGGGGAATTTTCTTCGCTGGCTTATTCAATCCTTATTACAAACTCTTTTCTTTCGACAATCTTTATTCTCAGGTACCACAATCCTAAGGGGTTTAGTTTAGAAAATGTTATCCCTGATAATTTGAAACTAATACCTAAACACGCAGAAGCTTCCAAAATCCGGGCCAGTCAGAAAACAGGCATTATTAGATAGAACTTCAGCATCTGTTAAGGTCGACATTCTACTTCTCTGAATCCCATATGGTCCGATTGTGGTTATTCCTTCGACCTCACCTAGCCAATGTTAAGACCGAATAATCCTCTGTATATCTGAGGACTAGATTTCTACTTCTTGTGTTCACACTGATACAAACATAGGATTAGATTCACAACCACAATAGGCTCTCGTATTGCACTGCCTATATTCCCATTGACCGTAGTCTTTATAAACAAAAGCAGATGAGTTTTACAGAAAGCATTCAGGCCTTCTTCAAAAAGCTTTAGTAGTCAATCTAAACTAAGCTAAAAGACACTTAAGTGAGTCTTATAGTGTTTCAGCTCAACCAACAGACAACGGTGAATATATATTTCAACCAAGCTGAGACAACTATTTATTTCTAACATGTACCAGCTTTAAGCACGGGGAAAGACAGCATCTGGCATAGAGACCTACCAAAATCTATTCAACAATGAAGGCGAGTAGAACATATCGACAAGAGCCTATTTGGTTTAAAAGAAAACTGCTTATACAAATGCACAGATAAGATGAAACTATCGGTTCAATAAATATTATCAAAAAAGTATTAAACAAAGGCAATGTTCAAATAATCTTTGCACTCTAAACATTATGAAAATACTACAAAAAAGAGAAAACAAACTCTTGAAAAATGAAAGACATGAGTACGATTTACTGTGATATTGAATGATGGAAAGCTAGATCGTCGAACAATGTTTGTTTTATGTTTAGTTGCTTTACGACGTCGACCAGAAAGTAAATAAACTTTTATGTACACATCTGGTGGCTCATTCGATCCGGGAATGTACTAAAATATTTAAAAAAAGATTTAAAGATCAAAATTGAAACTGACCTACAATAGAATGTATGCATAGATATATATTATTTCTCACATTCGACTAGATATTACCTTATGGCACAATACACAGCAATATGATCAATTGGTTGGGGTAAATATTGATCAATGCAATCCAGAGACGTTTCAACAAAACGTGCATCTGAATTTGGCTCCAGTATAAACAAACAGTCACAACAGAACATAATTTGATGAACGCATCTTAATTCACCTAGTATATTACAGTTGAATCCGGTCGATAAATAAGCTATCCTAACATCAATGTCATATGATATTGCCTAATGTTTCCGAACAGATCAATCTTTGTATAAATTAATCCAGTTTTTTTCAGTAAAAGAATAAAAAATTGAGAAATCTGTCAATTATTCCAGTCATATTACTTCATAGGTGAATAAAAGAGTTGAAATATTTCAATTTTGCCTATTTATAAAAATAAGCAACACAATGCATGGTCTTGTCTATGAAAAAAGTTTCTATCATGTGATTTAATGAAAAATGTATTCCCACTATCAGTTAATTCAATTTCAGGTGTCATCATTTATCAAAAGTGAGTGAGTAATAAACGATCAACCACTGTGTAAACCCTTTCATTTTTATTTTACGGATGAATGTATTGAGTTTGTTAGGTGAGGTTAAAAAGTTATATTCAGTCTACTGTAATGTAATGAGTTAGCATAGTTGAAGATAGTTTTATTAACTGATCGATAATAAAGATAAGCTTACATCTTTGATAACGTTGACTTATGCATTCAGTCTCCATGCTGAGGGCTTACCAGTAGAACACAAGAATATCATTATGGCAAAATAACTCTTTATTGAGTTTTTTGAAATTTCAATGTCTTATACATATTATGGGAAACAGAATAGAAAAAGGATGATTGAATATTTATTACAAGTTATGATTTCATAACAGTTACCATCTTTTTTTCAGCTTGAAATACATTTACTTAAAACATACAGCATATTAGCTTCGAATCTCTCTTGTGACAGCGAAAATAATCCTATTGTGCATGCCTACGACAATGAAACAATCTATTATATTATGGTTTATATTGCTTTATGTAGAAGGTTAAAAACAGGTTGCGCAACTATAAAAGGATAAGCAGAATTTAGGCCTTGTAAGTTAAGAGTTTCTTAGACAATTCCCGAATGTCTAGTACTCATCATAATTAGAATCATTCAACTAGCTGAAAAAAATGAAATTCTCATGGACATATACTGAAGTATAAGTTACGTATTTGAGGATGATTAATTTCTATATTGATAAGTCATTAAACATCACAGATGATATTTGATGTTGTCAAAGAATATTGATTTGCTACACGTTTCTGAAAAAACATCTTTGAAAACCCTTTTTAAGCATGGCATGTGGAAGAAAGACGGGTGTACAGACCAAAAGTAACATTAACAGAAATAAGTATTGTAGTGAACAAGAACACAAGTGGGGACAATCGGGTGTATTTAGGCACAAAATTACAGAATATCTCAGTAAAATATAACAACCATAAAGTAAACAGTTAATTTGCAAACTATCAATCAATTGTTTCAATCTTGAACGTTCCTTATGCAAATATCAGTCCATTGTCTCCGATTATTATTGTACACGCATTTTCACACCAATTGCATTTCTTTCCCGTTCTTTCGTTATCGATCTTCGACTGAAATACATTCAATGCCCGACCGCCGCTGCATAATACTTATGTGGATATAAATAACACACACCACAGTATCACTGTACACTAATGAGAATGAATAATCTCATCATAAACTACTTGTCACTTATTTTCTCTTCGAAGTACACCTTAAAAGAAACAGGCAGGAGGCTATAGACCTAGGTGCAATGCTTGTTAGTAAGCTGTAGCATTAAGTATATGTAAATCATTCAGTCCATACCTCAGATTTCGTATCATTAAACAACAAAACAAGTATGTTTCATAATGTCAAGTTATTTAGACTAGATGCTATGTTGCAATCTCATAGACAGAGGTCAATTAGCATTAAGCATTGATCAGACAGTATGACACAAGCTTATTCTGGTAAACACCTTTAGTAAACATGCAAACTAAGAAGAGGAAAAACTGTTTTAGACAAGAAGAATAACCAGAAAAATGGATAGGCGAAAAAAACAATCATCCATTTCTATTCATAACATCATTAATATAAGGGTGGAAATGAATTCATCAAAAAAAGACAATCATATGCCTGTTCCACGCACATATAATTGAGTTTAGCAAGCCGAAATAATAGGTTAAATCAGAACACCGATAACAGTGACAACAGGCTAGAAAGTGATTAATGAAAGTAAATACCATAAAAATTGTACAAGACAAGCTTACTAAACATCTGGCATGCTTGATTAAAACATCTAAACGTCTGGAGTTCTCACTTAAATATAACTGAATATGTACAGCTGGCAAATAGTCTACTTTATATTTTGATGTTAATAAATCATCAGAATTATTATGAAACAAATGAAACGATGATAATGATGATGAAGATAATGATGGAATGAGTAAAGGAGTTGTATATTCTTTAGATTTTTCAGGTAAATAATCTTGTAATGGTGATGAAGATGACCAACACTTGATTAGTGATGATGAAGTCGATGTTGTCAGCCCTAGAATTTCAAAAACAAACAAACAAAGACTAGAAATGGAGATTTTGAAGTAGGCCATTGTAAGTAAACATAGGGTGAGTTGAATTTAGTTGGTTAATTGAGAACAATTTAACACACGTATAAACATCATTGAGAGTGATATTTAAAGAATGAACTATTTTGGATTTTCAATAACAGGTGAGGTAAACAATTCCGATCAGAAAGATTCTACGACAAGTTGAGATGGAGATATGAATTACTGAATTTTAATCCTATTAAATTTACTGTAGAAGTTAAAGGTTACATCTTTCATACAAGAACAGATCATAAGGGGTGAAGAGTTCCACCATACAATTACATCGAATGTTATTAGTTTGCGATTTTAAAAAAAGAAAATTAATAGTGTTAAAACTTGTGTTCTTTCAATGTACTCTTATTTAGTCTATACAAAGAAATTATACAGTTAGACAAATCACACTTTGAAGACGATTCTCATTAAGACGTGACACTAACGTCTAAAAACCGAGAAATCACAAAAATATCTCTCAAAATGACTGAAATCATCAGAATAATATGTGTATACATCCCCACAAATTGTTGAATGCAGGATTCTCAGGTAAAGCATGATATCATTTACCTACTGAATTTGGAATGCACTGATATATTGTAAAACTAACAACGATTCGAGATAACGTATGATTATAATCCAATATATTCGGTGAAGATTATTCTCATTTCATACCAAGGTAGATTTATTGTTAATAATCTCATAGGTATTATTTAAGATTGTATGACACAATTATCGAGTGTTTCGTGGTTTTCAACTAGTTTTCCAACTAATGTCAACCAGTAATGAGATTGGCTTTATGATACAAAAATATTTCCTTACAAACTATGGAATGAATTTTAAAAAGTTTTTAACGATTAAAACTTGATTAGCACAAATTAGGTTAGATGAACTAAATTTTCAAAGACGTCTAACAAAACAAAAAGCATTAAATTAAACCAATCATAATGAGTTATGGAATAGAAAATAGAGAATGTATGAGAACAAAGTTATCAATTCCATATGATGCAAATATTTGAAATAAACAGACAAAGCTTTTTCATAGTTGAAAGCGTGAGTCAATTGAAGCTAGACTACCATAGAAAACCTGAAAGTACTGGACGGCAGTTTAGTCCTCATGTGGGACTCCTCAGCAGTGCGCATTCACGACCTCGCCTCACGAGATTCGAACTCAGGACCTACCAGTCTCGCGCCAGTGCACTTAACCGATAGACCACTGAGTCGGCATCTGGTGACGTTTATGTCCAACTCCAAACAATCCACGAAGTTGAGCAACCGTCCACCGACTGTCTTCAGTGAGTTTCTATCTCACAATGGACGTGGTTTGAACTCCACTGGTCACTACTTCTCACTAGAACTCCTGGATTTACCTCTCGAAGTCAGTCGCTAGTGAGCATATGGCGCGAGACTGGTAGGTCCTGAGTTCGAATCTCGTGAGACAAGGTCGTGGGTGCGCACTGTTGAGGAGTCCCACAATAGGACGAAACGGCCGTTCAGTGCTTCCAGGTTTTCCATGGTGGTCTAACTAACTTTCGACTATGAAAATACTAAATCTCCACAAAAACCCCTTCTGATAAAAACAAAGCTTTATTCATAAATTTATTTAATAAAGAATTTAGCTTGACTTTTTTCATTAACTGAAAATGTGTTTGAACGGCATAATATAACCAAACCACATATAACATTTTACCAATCCACAATAAGATGATTAGGAATTTATTCTACTAACCATGTATCGCCACATACCAGCTTATTCATGAGTTGTGAAATTTATTCAATCCTAAATATCATAAGTATGTAGACAATTTGTGTTGTAAACTAAAATATAACAGACTTAACTTGAAAACAATATTTGGTAAATTATACTGAATAAATGATTAAGACGAAAAATGTAATTTTAGGAAAAGATGGGTGGTGGCTAACAGTGGAAGCTTTTGGTTAGGCCTTATTTGAAATGCTCACTCTGGGATGCAGGTACAACCAGGCGACGAGGCACAAATAAGACGAAATGTGCATGCTGGATTCCACTGCTAGCCAACATCCATCCCTGCTTATAACTTAAGGTAATATCAAGGCAATCCACACTGGATGCATATATGCCAATAAGAGACTGATCAGCTGCAGTCCTAAACATCAATGGGAAGATGCAAACAAAACAAAATGAAAGTCATAAATTATGTGAGATTATGTGTACTTAATTCGTCATATATAAACAAACTATCTTTACTTCTAGAGGATAAGTGCTGACGAATGAACATTTTAAAAATGTTAAAATATGACGAAATAGTGAAAAAAAAATTAGTTAGAAAAAGCTATTTGGTTTTAATAGTATAATTACGCATTATAATATCACGCATGCAAAATCAAAGCCTATCGTAATGTTGTTTGTAAGGAGATCACGATAGTCAGACTACAATATTGTACTTTTCAAATAAGTCACTATCTGTTTGACTGATCAAAGCTTACAGTTGTAATACTTTGTGATTAAGGTCTTCAAGGTAGGCGAATTTTGTGATCGCGGGTACCAACTGATTACGCTCGAAATAGACATCAGTAGCTGAATTGTAGGTATATTCTTCTAAGTCTAAATTTCCAATACACCTCACAACATTCAATTAGTAATTTTGCTTCCATTCATTTCAAACTATATTCTCTATACTCAGTTCTCTATTTATAATAGATATCTGGATTTACACTTCTTTAATTTACATCTTCTACGTTTACTCGCTCTAACCTTTAAACTTAACAAGATCCGGCTTTGTTTATAACTATCAGAGTTATAAATATCAGTCATCAAATACAATATGTATACTAACATCATAGCCCTAAAATACTCGTAATTCAAGGTTACATCAAATGAGAGTAAGAAATTTTGTTCAAACAGTAAAAGCAATTCCAAATTTTGCTAAGATAGAACAGTAAGATCATTTGTAATTACTAATTACCTTTTTTATTAAAAATAAAATAAAATTAGAGTAAGATGAAGACAAAAAAACCCTTTGCGAAATACCGAAAACAGTGTTAAATAATTTAGTTTTAATTAACTAAGTATGCTTACACGAAGAAGTTAATTAAACAGCTGTAATGAAGAAAATATACACTGAAATAAATTATTACTAGTTATATTAAGGTAGTTAGTTTATGCATAATTCAATATAACAAGAGTGACATATTCAATAGAACACAAATATTGCTAATACGAAAAATAATTACTTCATAATTTGCTTTTTTCTTCTTGTGTTTACGGTTGAGAAGAAAAACGAGATAAGTGTTATGATTGAAATCACTCATTTTAATAACGAATAAGTTCACTATGTGAAAACTATGAAACATATGGACTAGTAAGCTTAACTGGTTTATCATTGTGTAAAGAATACATGAAAATTCATACTTTTGTCTCTGCCAACTTCTTCAATTTGATCGACGGATATTAACTATACCCATGATATTTTCATAAACGTAATCAACTGTCCTTATGTAATGGATGAAAGAAATATAAAGGCGGTTATTTGCAGTTTTAATATCAATAAAGTGTGATTTCTATTACAAACGGGATTCAGATGAATTTATAGAAACATTGTCATAAATATGGACACCTTGAAGCAAAATCCTTACAAGCCATACTAGAAGATAGATGAAGTAAAGCTTAAATTTATCTATATCGAAGAAGAGGCTCATTGTATTTGCGATCGATTAGACGGCCAGAAAAATTCAACAGCACCTAAATGATGATCACAATGCTGATCTCAATCTCAGTGCTTAACAAAAAAAGATTAAACTATGGGTTTTTACGTAATCAGACAGATACACAATGTAAGTAGAATTGACTAACCTTGTGATGGCATGTCTTCAGCAGTAAATCTTTCATCGAACAGTACACTGTGAAAGAAAGTATATACGATTGCACTCTAAATGAGAAAAAAACATACAAACAAAATATATAGCTTGGTAGATAAAATAAATAAGGGATAATTTCTAATTCAATGTAGATATAAGAACATTCGTCTAAATTTAAACGAATAGTTTCATTGTAGTCGGGGGCTGAGTAAGACAGTGAAGAAAATAATATTCGTAAAAATCTGTGATTGGACTTGAAGCAAATCCACCATTTCACTCGGTCATCTGGTCCAAGCTTTTACAAGGAAATATAATCGAACGGCTCAATAAGGAGCTCAGTAATCAAACATCATATGAACACAGGTCACCCTACAGAGCGGACCCTGCGTTCAAAGTTACGAAGACTGTCAAAGGCATCTTCTAAACATCACCGAATTAATCACTATACATCTGAAAAACCGGGATTATATGTCCAAAAGAAATTGGTACAACCTCGTTTTCTGCCATGGTCTTAATATATAATTATTTCCCTTTTTCTTCATTCTATTCTTCCTTCCCAGCCATCTGTCTCCCCTTCTATGTTTTACATAGACCTTTTACCTTCAACTGTTTTATTTCTAATTCTATGATCCTCCTGGTTAAATTTCATCTCAATTTCAACATGTTATCTTATCGTGCTAATCCCTCTTTTCTCAGTTTTAATTCCCTTATTTGTCTTCATGATGAATCCTCAAGCCCTTAACAATAAAACTATTATTAGTTTAAATAAAGTCAGAACAAATATTGATGCAGAATAATATGAATTCATTATATTTCGTGGTTTCTCATCAGCTGCTTACAACAATTTACTTGGCATTTACTCGACACCGGGCACACCATTGACATTTCTCAGGCTTTCAAAATCATTAACAAACAAAGAAGTACAACTGCTCTCCGGTTTGCTGAAGCGATCGCGATAAAAAAAACAAACGCGATCTATGTATTCAGAAAGAGACAGTGATAAACTTATTACTACTCTGGTAATCCGTTTTTTATTATTTTTATATTAGTTTTACTTTGCTTAATATTTAGTTTTTATTATATTCCTCTTCCCTTACCCAATTCTTAAACTGCCCTTTCTCTCACACATTTCCGCTCACTTGTCTCTCTTAATTATATGAACTCTCCAAATTTCATTCAATCATTACGTAAATCACACTAATTGTTTTTAATTACCTCTAAATTATCACACATTTGATCTTATCTTTCTTTGAACTCCACTCAACTATTACGCCACCCACCCTTTATGCTTCCTTCATTCTAATACCTAATAACCTCTGATCATTCTTTGCATATATATATATATATATAGTTATCATTGATGACCTTTTGTCATTCCAATCCTTTACATTCAATTATGTCAATAGTTCCACAATATTGTAGTATCGGTGTTTATGTTAAGCCCATATACTTTATTCTAGTTGCTGGCCAAGCCAATTCGCCTATCCATTATGAGTCATATTTTGATCTTGTTAATTGTTCGCTTACTAACCTTGACTACCTTGTTATATGAGCGCATGTGTATGTACCCTTCTTATCCTACCTATCACATGTCTGTCATTCATTTTTGTCCGACTATAAATGTTGATTAACGCTTGCTTAAATCGAGTTGGCTTCCCAGCCATCTCCACTATGCATCATCTTTGCTTCGCTCGCTTACATTTGCTCATGTGCTTACAACTTTCTAGTCTGCATCATTTATCAATAAAAATGTAGTTGCCGCTTCCTTATGCCTTCTGATTTTATACACCGTTAAGATTGGTATAATAACGGTTATCGAAGTGAACTATTATCGAAGCACGGCACTACAATATTTATTACCCCAACGCTAAAACTCTAATACATATTTGGTTGTAAGCAGCTGATGAGAAACCACGCAATATCATGAGTTCATACTATTCTGCATCAATATTTGTTCTGCCTTTATTTAAATTCATAAAGGGAACTAACTGCATGATATTATTAGTTTCCCTGATAAAAATAATGTCTTAATACCATTGTTCATTCTGTGGTGTGGTCTACTTATATCCATATAAGTAGTATATGGTGTGGGTCAGACATAGAATGTATTTTGGCAGAAGACCGATGACGAAAGAACTGGAATGAAGCGCAATCGTCTGGAAAATGCATGAGCAATGGAATTAGAGAAGAAACAGTGAAGATTGAAACAATTGGTTGTTAATTTGCAAATTGACTGTTCATTGTTTGGTAATCAGAATTTATTGAGATAGTCTGTAATCTTTGCTTAAATACATTCGATTGTCCCCAACTAGTGTTTTGTTCACTACAATTCTACTTCAGAATAAAGTAGTATATAGCATTTTGCTAATATTTTTTAATTTATAAAGCGCATGAATTATTGTATTAAATTACACTGTCAATTACTTATTATGTCGAGGGACAATCCTCAAATGTGGCGTTCAAAAAAATAATAAGTATCTTCATAAAATACACTTATACACCAGCACTGAACGCTTTATTCAATCTAATTTAGTTTATGCACTAAGAAAATCCCACATTAAAATTCAGCATATTTAGGTTTCGAAATTCGAGATTCATTCCCAACACCTTTCATGCAACGATTTAAATATAATGATAAATATGTTTTTGTACTGACCAGTTTACAAAACAATATCATGAAATAACGTAATATGATACAATAAATCACCTCATAATCAGTAAATTCATTTTTATACTATACCATAGTCTGGAAAGAAGATGACTTGCAAAAGAAATATTCATGTTTATTCAAAACCAGAATTTCATCACGTATATTAATGAACGAAGCAACTGTGTGAATGATATTTCAAGTATCATTATAATTCTAATCACTTTTTTCATGGATTTTTGTTTTCTTCCTTTCAATATATAACTGGAACTATAGGGGTTTGACCTAATAACTCAAGTGTCTGTATTCCTAAAAATTTTTTAACATCATCTCTTTCTTGGCCGAATTAAGCCTAACAAACCAGCTTTGTTACTATTATTCCATACTCTTTGTTTGTTTATCATTCCTATAATGAAACATTGATTCAAGGCTCCATTATTCTTATCACAACTAGTACACCTATAATCACACTGTCAATTTGTATTTTTTTACCTATTACTTTTATTGCACTGTTATATTCCCCTGTAATCACTGACTTAAACTGTCTTGATCAGTTTAATAATTTTATATATCCATATAAATATTACTGTATATTACAGTAAAGCGTGATAAGAATTTAAGTGAAAACAATATTATTTGCTTACATATGTTGTTCACATTCACTATGGAAATTTCTACAACTTTTTAGAAGATTAAATAGTCTTAAGTAGGGATGAATGTTAAACTGTTACTGCTCCTATTCATTTGACATTTACCACGATGTGCTAATGTGGTGTGGTTACCTGAAGTGATACATGAATGCGTCAGACGTTACGTAGCTAATAACTGACTTACTGATCACATTTATTGATAGGTTATTACAGTTGCCTTCTGTGGTTTCTTATTTCCAGAACGCGCATTAAAAGCAATTACGTTTCTGAATACGATTAAAAGCTAGGCTTTACTGACATTTAGCCTAAAGACATAATGAAATCTTATCAAAAACCTAATAAAGAGTAGATGACAATATATATATATATATATATAACTTCTTACTTTGGACACAGTATCATCATCTGAAAGTAAGCTGTCTGTTAAAGATTGCACATGATCTTGGGATCGTGTAGAACTAACACTCATTGAATTTAAAGCATTCATGATATGTGACACAGTTTTAGTAACAACTGAATTCGGAAAACGCTCTTGTAATCGCGTTTCTAATTCTTCTAAATCTGAAACACGACGGTAAACTCTAGTTGGAACTCGACAATTTTCCCGCCAAACGTTCATTGGGAAGTAGTAATCCTATGAGAACGAAATATAAATTACTATCAAATAAAAATATCAAGAAAAAACGATTTATTTCACAAAATATATATGAAACAATTTGAAAATTATGTTCAGTTGTAATTCTACAGTAACTTTAAATGTGAAGTCTGAGGGTAGTTTTCATAATACATTTACACCAAATCAATAGTTAAAATGTATTATGATAGCTAAGAAAACTTTAGAAACAACATTGCATGTATGCAACGACTTCAGGTATGTAATTCATGAAAAATAACACGTGTAAATTACAGACCTGGTCATAGATGCTACATTGATAGATAGGTGGGACTGGGAAATTTTAAAGGCCAAAATGAACTGCAAGCATGTTTACCGAGGTCCTGTCACGACAAACAGGTTTGTCTGACAGCAGCAAGACCAAGTGAAGAAACTTTCAGATTGTAAAACAAAATGGTACTATCGACTGCGCCGGAATGCAATGGCAGACAGTTGTTTCCCACGGATAATTAGCATCTTCAGTGAAGCTAATATTTTGAAGAAAGATATATAGGTTAGAAAAGATTGGTTTTTACTCTCCTTCCTCATGGATTTCCAGCCTCAGTGGTAAGATTTTAAGAAGTAGGGATCTAATATTATGGAGAGAGCCACTCTTAAGAAGTTTTCACCCTTTATTCAAAGTCGCTTTTATGGATCGACAATACTTTCAATGTTTGGTTAGTTTCCTCAAAAATAAATGTTCTACAGCAGTATTAGTAAGGGAACAGTGCTAACACAAGGGCTTGCCATCAGTTTACTTTCATGTTTTCTAGGTTATCTCTAATGTCTTATAAAACAGCGCTGACAAATTCTATCCTTGACCCCTCGATATATTACCTTTAATATTCACATCATATAAGAAAAAGACCAGGTAATCATGTTTCTCTGATGCATAAATTATGATTATTCACCTAACATCAAGAAAGTAAAATGCAAAACCAGATCAGTTCATCCTTTGTGACATCGAGACATCTCTAAAACAGTAAATCCAATAAACACCCGTGATGTATACAAAATAGATAGATATGTCATCTACTAGAGGTTCTAGAACTTATACATAGTATTATCTGTTATATCTGAAGCGTTTTAAATTCACTGGTTAGCAAACGGAACAAAGACTTGTGACCAGAGACCGACCCAAACCCAGCTAACTAGAGTAAGAAGTCGAAGTTGGGAGAGGGAAAATATATTCCGTAGCAGCCAGAAGCACAGCAATCGTAAGGGGAAAAAATCAAACGTATATATACAGCAATAAATTGTCCTTGGGCAGCATTACAAAATAGCACGCTCAAAGATACAACGGACCAATGGCGTTTAAGATATTTTACTAGTGGAAAATCTGACGCGAAGATGAAAAAAGCGCTTTTGGTGCGAAAACAAAGAAATTCAAATTTTCAAGATAAAATTACAAAATTAAGCCATTAACCAACTAAGTTCTGGGGATTTGACATCCCCAACATTATCTAACTGTAGTCTCATTTCACGACCAGAAGACTATACATAACTCCGTTTATCGACAGATCTTATGACAGTTACTGTCATAGAAAAGCACATTGAAAAATTATTTAAACCCATTGAAGATTCTTTATAATGCACACTACGAGTCAAGTGAGAGCTTATAGTGAACTGTTATTGAAACTATCTACGTCACGTGATATTCGTTCACTTTCACCGTCTTATTAAATTTTGTCCTACACATTCTTTAAAATAAAGCGTTTCATTCATTAAATTTTTAAGAGATCGACCCATCAACCGAAAACCCTCTAGATGAATTAGAGTATTCATCAAATGACGTATTTCTGTTTAGTAGACAACGAATGAAAGCTTTCTGAACAGAATATGTAATAATACAAAGATGTTTGAGATGAGTTTCTCTTCATCTGAATGGAAAATATTGCTTCAAAACTCCTTTAAGTCAACGATTAGTTTGACGATTGAAAGAGATGTCGTCAGATGTGTTAACTACCCCAATTATCTACAACTGACAGCATGGAAGAAAAATAAACTGGTCAAATGCTCTCTCACTTATTTCTTCATACTTAATCTAACTCACGGAATGTTTATCACCGGTTTTCTTTTTCACCGCAGTTTCCACCACGATTGCATCAATAGTTCCATCTGAATCATTCCTGTTAATTTGATATTGATGGTTTTATTATTGAACATGAGATATAAACAAATACACATATACATATATGGAAAAAGAAAAAAAACGACAAAAATGAAAACAAGTCAGAAATTAGGCACAATGATATAATAAAATGCAAATAATACTTGAAATAAATGGGCAGTTATTTGATTAGGCGAATTTCTTTTAATAAAATTATTTCTTTTGGTTCTCGTCAGCTGCTTACATCCTGTGGTATTCATAATTCATAATACAAATCATAAATGCAATCACCCAAGGTTATTACTAAACATCCAAACTCCAGTCTTCTGAAGCCGTTGCTATCAGGTGTTAGAAAACTGATTTATGTGTTCATAAGGAGTTGGTTGTTAATTCATTTTTGCCTTGGTGACAAATATTCCTATGTTGCACCACAAAACCTTGTTCAACTGTTTCTTTCCATTAGTTACATTATTACGTCTTTCTATTTCAACTATCTTTTAGATTAACAATCTACTAGTTATATCCCAAAATAGACGTGTAGTGTAAAAAAAATATAAAGCTTGACAATCAAGTCTCAATTTTATCAGAACATCAATAACATTCGAAACATGTGATCTGAATTAATTTATGATTAAAATGGAATCCAATCTTCCAATTAACATTCTGCATATAAACATTTTTTCTCTCTTTTCTTTAAATGTATCCCCTGGGATAAATAGAAGCGAAGTACATTTGTACATGTGCATAAGTCGTAAACTAGTATCCATCATTATTCCTACTTAAACAAAAACGTCAACATAGGAATTAGGAAAAAAGATGTATTCTGTTTCTTTCTAGATATAGTATTTGTAAAATATTTCGTACGTACCTCAACATGAAATAGTTTTTTAATAATAAAGCGTTCTCCATTTAGGAACGTTTATTTTACTCATAGATTATAGCTTTACCTAAAACTTATTTAATTGCAAATGAAAGAGTTCGACTGAATTTGAAGAAAAATAGGAAGTGGAAATATTATTCAAACAGGCTTTCTCCAAAGTAAGAATCTGTCACAATCTGCCGCAGCAAAGTAGTAAAACAACTAAAGTTCTATTTGACTACTCGAGTGTTATACCAGATCATTATTTCAATGATGAGCACACAACTATAAGCCTATCATCACACTAATTATCTAGCTGAAATGTTTTGATTTAAATTAAAATGAATATGAATTGGGTAGAACGAGTGATCGCTTGATAGTCAAATATACTACTCTAAATTGTTTTGGTTAGCGGAATAATGACTCGCTGTATTGCATTGTACGTTTTAACGATTGCCAATATTTACATGAAATAAAAAAGAATACGCTATCTTAAGTTTTCGCAAAAATAAACTATGCTTATCAAATCATTCATAAAGAGTTATACATAAGTGAAACCATAGCAACGTGAAATTAAAGGTACAAGAGGTAGTAAACGTCAGTATTTGGGCGACAAACTATGTCTGGTCAAAATAAATGATAAGGATTTGATGAGAAAACGTTATTCATCAAATACATTCTCTTTTTTGGGGAAAAAACACTTTAGACGAATTTTAAGCAAGATTAAAGAAACTATTCACTGGGCCAAAGCATACTGAATTAATCTCGTCATTCATTTGGAATACTGGGAAAAATATATCAATGGCATGAAGAAAACGTTGTAGAATGACAGACACCTGAAAACATAATTCAAATCCTAGCTATTGTGAGGATGTCTGACAAGATTTCAGAAAGAAACACCTCTTCATATTGTCACAAGAAAAAAGAATAGTGCGGTGTGTTACTAGATATTCTAGTAGACTAATCCAAGGATACTCACTTGGAAACTACAAGTTTATTTTTTTAAAACCCCAGGTTTGGTTTTGGAATGCTTTCTTTCTTTTGAGATTTCATTTATTCTTTTTTTGATAAAGTTTGAGATGATTTGAAAAGGAAAGAAGAGAAACAACGATCAAACTCTGTTAGGTGAAGAAGATAATATTCACTTGTTTGGTTAGCTAGATGACAGAGTATGAAACGTATTTCTGATCCAATGAATATTGGTTTGTTTTCTAACAACAAATAACATGATTTTACAACGCTAAAGAGAGATAACTGAAGAAAAATTCCTTCGGATGTCTTTTATCATGAATGATTGAAAGCTTTAAGTATTAGATCATTCACTAAAATGAATCTTTAGTATAGATTTGTTCAATGAACTAATGAGTAGAGATAGATGCAGCATTTGACATTGTACAAATAAATAAACTGTACCGTATTCAAAACGAAGCAACATTGAAACATCGACTCATTTAATGTTATCGTCAACTGATCAGTGTGTTTGATTATGACCAATAACAATTCAAGAAAGAAATCATTGTTTTAAAGTTGTTGAGCCAGCATTCTAATCGAACACATAAATATTATCTGTATGAGATGAAAGGACTTACGTGAAGCGTTTCGGATTAAAACTAAATATTTGTCCAGTTCCAGTGTAATTTGAAAGGGAATTACTGATAGTCGGAGGGGATCGAGTCTTTGAATCATCAATCGATTTTCCACCAATGTTTGAATTATTGTTGTTAATTTTTTTATTATTGTTACTATTCATATTATTATATGTATTCCAATGATTATCAAATTGACTGTTTATTATTGGAGGGGAACTTTTGTCAGATGCATTTGTATTTGTGCCAGAAACACCTCCACCATGAGAAGCTTGTTTAACTTGAGCTAATCCGTGTACAAAAAAATTCAGACTAGAAGATTTTGAGTGTAAGGTCTTACGAACTAATCTGTTAAAAATTATGAGTTAATTCAAAAAAAATAAAACGCAAAAGAATTGGTAAATCATTGAAACGAAAAAGAATAAAATATAAATCGACCAGTGATCTTCATTTACGTTACTTGCATTATTATTAGTAGAGTGATTGGTGTCTTACATCTTCGATAAATAAGAATTTCCATTTCCATTCCACAAAGCAATCAAATGAATTTTTTCAACAGTAAGACACTTGGAAGCTGTGTACAACAGGCCATGAACCTGTATTTCATGGTTGCTGGTGTAGTTTAACGATGAGTACTCTGTAAACGAATGGCAACTGAACATAATGCATGAATGAGATTATTTGACCAATATATCAGTTTGGATTTGTGAAAGATTATTATTATTAATGGCTTTATTCAATAATATATTTTTGTTAGAATATAGAATTCTCAACACAAAGTATTTCAGCGAGTTTCCGTTTCTTATTTCGTGATCGATATTGACGATAAATATTGAATGATAGCCAGCTAGACATTAGTATTTCGGAAGTCGACATCTGAATAATATTCATTTTTTTCAGTACACACTGCCAGGCATCACGAAGTTTCCGATTGTAAATTTTTGTGATTTGTAAAGTGAAAGGTCGTGAACTTTTCTTAAAAGAGCCTGAATAGATTATGAAATTAATAGACAAAATGATATGTCAAAATAAACAAAAACAGTTAACCTGTTGAAATATCAGGATGGCAGGAACAGGTGGCCGTTAATATCAAGTTTACAGAATTATCATAACAAATTATTAGTATACTTTTACTATATAATTATTAAATACTTCTATGATTGTTTTATATCCCTCTAATTGTTGTTACATGTTTTATTGTTTGGGAGTTACTTTAAGTTGATCATTCATTTATATCTCTTATTTTGTATCACGTATAGCTTAGTCATGTGTAAAACGTAAATTCCTATTTGTATTTCTATGTCGTTAAATACTCAACGTACATTCTTGTACGAGCTTTACAGATACAGAGGAATAGAGTACAATAGAAAAGATAAATCATTTGTTTTTCTTAGACATACAATATTCACTTTGGTAACCTATGGAGAGACCGAATAGATGATTTACTGTATCATAATTATTAACTCTCAGTAAATTTAGTTGAACTATACTTGAATCACAGTACATAACTTACAAATGACTCTGAATATTTCAATTCCGAAAATATAATTATATTCCAAACTTGAAATAAATTGAAAGAATATGAGACACCTGCATTCGATGCAACGTGGAGCTCGTCAATATATCTATCTTTTCCAAGGGAGCAGTGCTACCCGGTATAATTGAATTTATATCAGTTTATATCAGTTTATATCAGTTAAAAAAGGTCAACATAGAGTAATTCACATCATAACTGTGGATACACGAAATTTATGAATGCCGATCAGTAGAAAATTAACACTCACGACTCCCCTATGATTGCTTTTAACCAATTAACATTAACCAAATCGCAACGTGATATCAAATAATTTGCTCTCTACATTAAAACCGGATGGAATCAATTCGGTCAGAAACAACTACAAGGATAAGGCTTTGGGTACTAATAAGAGATCAGTTAGTGAAGGGAAATACACTGATTAATTTATACGGAAAGTTCAGCTGACATTTTTTTCCAGTCAGACACCACCGCAAGTACCAGACAGAAGACGTTTGTATATTAGAAACGATCACCAGATCATTTTATTGATAAACAATTTTTTTAATGAATACATCGTCATAGTGCACTTTACGTGGATTATTTTATTAACAGAAAAGGGATTTCAAAAGATAATGATAATAATAGAAATATTTCATTGTCTTACTCAGTAAAATATTGACTCGCTTCTTGATCATTTAATTCTAATCGTAATGCTCTTAAAACAAATCGAATACAGTCACGGTTCAAACCTGGTATATTCATTGATAAACTCTTTGTGATTAGAAGAAAAGAATCAAATCAAGAAATAAATAACAGGAATAAAAAAAACTGTTATAATGATACCACAAAGATTTAATCAGTTATAACTAATGGAAAACCTAACATATATGTTCATCAGTTCATATTACCTCAGCACATAGTATAGGAAAATTTACTCGAATTGCAAGTCATCTTCGACCAAGACTGTAGCATACAAATGGACTTAGTCATCAAAAGGTATAAATTAACTGTTAAACATCTATTATTCATTTGAAAATGCCTGCAACATTTTTAAGACTGATGATAAAAATCGACACATTTATTTGTAAGAGATTGTATCTTTTTCTTGGAGAAATTAAAAAATGAAAGTGGCTAACGTCTATTAATATATGCTCAACTTGAGTGCATTGAAGTGTGGATAACATGTTGGCGTATGGAGCGACAAGTACTGGGTTCAAAGTCACAGTAGGAACACAAACATTGAGATCGAAATGGGTGAATGTGACAAGTCCTAAATAGGACGAAACATGAGTCCTAGATTCCAATAGTAACCATAATCTAAACAATATTAGATATATTTGGGTTGAGAAAGTGTAAAAAAACGTCAACTATATTCGAATTGCCCCATTTTGAAAGCACAAAATTATTGATTCCCAACTAACCATACTAAATTATTATCCTAGATAAGATTTTTAATTTTAAACGAGAAACATATAATATCAAACAAAGCAGCATCATTTCAACCACATAACAGTTAAAACAATACTGGGAATCCAAATAAAATAATATCAGCATTTATTCATGTTACTTACTAATTCAAGCAATGAAACCAGTTGATATGAACGATGTCTTAGTAAATTATAAGCTTCACAACATCTGTCTATAAAGATTTGTACACCTTGTTGTGAATGACTGGAACCATGACCTGGTGTATAACCGAATCCTGATGAATTATTTACATCATTTGTTACATCTTTAGAATAGGTATTTAACACGTGTAACATATCTTGCGTCAACACGAAAGGTACACGATCTCTGCAAATGAAAGTCGATAAATAGTAAATCATATATCGTAAGCGGAAAATAATGGTGAAGAGAAAAACAAACAGGATATTTTGTATAGTGGTCATCAATGCAACAATGTATAAATCAAATAATTGACTATATAATGCTAACCAATCAATTTTGTTGAGAATAAAAAGAGATTTCGATGAAGTAAAATTCTCAATGGTTACATGTAAAAATTGTATGACAAATAATGCATATGAATTCTGGTTTAAGCTCATTGACGGTGAGAGCTTCGTACAAAATAAGTAGGTCTTATCGTTATCGTTGCTGTGGCCTTAATTAATAATAATATTATTATTATTACTGCATTCCCCTTTACTTGTGTCTTATATTCTCATTATTTTATTCATGAATACTCATCATATCGCCTTATTTATTTTTACATTTAACATATGAATTCACCTGACTTAATACCAAATAGAATAACTTACACAGTGATAACTCATTATATTAATATCATTTAGAAAAAACTTAATCTGTGTTTTGAAAAGGTAATAAGTTCGCCTGCTTGTTTGCTGTGATAACAAAAAGTTGACCTCGTCGTGGTGACTACAATTTACAAAGTCTTATCCTAAACCACATATTCCTCTCCCTATGAAATGTTTTTTTACTGTGGAGTCAATAATTTTAACATACATGGTATGGTTATGAATGTTCTTGCATTAATAAGACAATATTTCCTTTTATTTGAAGTTGTATTAGATTCTTATCATTTAAAGCTAATATAGTTCATTGTCTTATAGTATTTATTTCTGATTCTCATATTTAATAATCACCCAACTTTACTGACCACATAACAGGAAATTACGCAAGCCGTGATGTATAGCAACGAGTGAGTTAGTCGAAACTCATACCAACTAACTTACAAAATTTAACGTATACTGAATTTCATTCCTATTTTTTATCGATTAGTTGGAATTAAAGTTGATCATGCTTCGGCAACAAGTGCAAAACTATTGTAAAAAGAAAGTACTAGATAACTGTTTCGTTATAGAATGAAAAACGTGACCTTTGAGCGCCTACTAGCCCACCAGCGGCCGAAATGCAAATTCATGAAAATTTCACAGCGGTGTTTATTTTGCTTTATTCCATGACTCTATATTTCCATAAAAACACGGCATCTTTTGCTAAGAAGAGAAATTAGGATTAACAACTTATGTTTGAAGTATTATTTTCCTTGTCTACCTAAGCATTCTACAACGAGAGTACCAAAGAGGTGCACTGCAGCTATATATCAGATTGGGAAATTCAATCACTAAAAAATATATTTACAGTTACAAGACTAGCTCGAATCCAATCAACTAGAACAACCGTAAGATGATTTTCATCTCGAGTTTCCACACAGATATTGTAATACAAAAAACACAATAATTAACTTGTATCTTAAAAACAAAATACAGAGAATTAAAATGTACACATATATTTACACACCTTTTAATACCAGCAAATGTTTGGCTATTTCCAAATACTTTAGAAAAATCAACATGGAATACATGGCCAGAATAACGTATCATAATATTGTCATTATGTCGATCACCTACACCAAGTATATACGTTGCTACACAGCATCCAGCTAATGAACGTAGGAAATTATCTAAAGCCTTTTTATGATAGAAAACAATAATAAATAATTACTAATGTAATCAATCAACATTATCATACAAGAAATTATGTCAATATGCAATAAGACTATAAGCATGCAGACTGGGACCTCTTGCGTTCACTGATCAAACTCTCAGACTGGGATGAATTCTTCTCATGTAATGGTCTGACAGATGCCATCAACATATTCTATTTGATTCTCAACTCTTGTCTAGACTCCTGTGCACCAATTAAGACTTACAGGATTAGTAAACCTTACGAATTATATATACCAGCTAAATATCGTAATAAACTAAGACGCCTCCAGAAACGTTATTTTAAATCTAACGACTTCACGGCAGTCACACAAATAACAATAATTTTTAACCAAATTAGAGAGAAACATAGGTTAAAAGCCATCAATTAAGGGCTATTAGCACTAAGTACTAACTCAAAAGTGCAAAACCTAATCCACCTTTACAATAAACGTGCTAAATCAACTCAAAAGGTTGATATACCATGCATCCTGCATAATAATAGTTTTATATATGACCCAAAAACTATAGCAGACCTTTTCAGTGGTAATTTTGCAAACGGCAAAGAATCCATAAATGGCTCTATTTCTAGAGTTATATGCATGACTGGTAACTCAATTAAATCTATCTCCTTCACGTGTCTGAAAATTAGTAAGGTTATAAATAACCTCAAGGTTTCGAAAGGTCACGGAGCAGACGGGATTTCATCATTTCTCTACAAATATGGTGGTCCAGATATTCTACTTCTTCTCCTTAAGCTGTTTACTCTCTCTATAGAATCGGGCTCTTATCCTGACCGTTGGAAAACCGCGTACATCATACCACGTTACAAATCCGGAGATAAGACTGACATGAACAACTATCGGTCAATAAATATTACTCTAGTTATCTCTAGGATTATGGAAAAAATTATTAGTGACGAACTATCCAACTATTTATTGACTGAACAGTTTATTGATGATTCGCAACATGGATTTCTTAAAAATCGATCTTGTATGACATGTCATTTTGACTTCTTTAATTTAGTCTATTCTCTTCGTAGCCAAGGATATCTAGTATTAGTGCTATACCTGGACATTTCTAAGGCCTTCGACATGGTCAACCACCAACTTCTCATAGGTAAACTCGCATCTTATGGGGTCCAAAACCCGTTACTAGCCTGGTTTGATTCCTTCCTCAGCAATCGACATCAAATAGTTATAAATGAACTCTTCATTGTCGAATGCCGTCCCTGTTAGAAGCGGGGTAATTCAGGGTAGTGTCTTAGGTCCTTTGCTCTTTTTAGTTTTCATTAATGATATTTGTGAGTGTTTTAGTGAGGGTAAGTCCCTTTTGTATGCAGACGATCTTAAGGTGGTGTACTCATTTTCTCCACATGAGCTGAGCAATATTCAAAATTGTATCAGCACGGAGCTTAATAAGGTAGCACAGTGGTGCTCGAAATGGCAACTGGAGCTTAATACAGCTAAATGTGGTTGGTTATGCTTCGGTGATACATCACTCAACCTCGATCTTACCGTAAATGGTGAAATGTTATCTAGGTTACACACAGTAGTAGATCTAGGACTTAGGTACTACGACGACTTGTCGTTTACTGAACAGATAATGAAACAAACGTCCAAGTCTCAACGCCTTAAAGGTTACATAACTCGAAACCTTCATAACAGCGAATCTCGTGTATTAATGTACAAAGTCTGTGTTCGACCACTCCTCGAATACTGCGCGTTTCTCCTTAGTAGCACGCGCATAAAGGATAAATTAAGACTTGAATCAGTGCAGAGACGATTTACACTTCGTACTCTTGGAACTGATAGTGTCTTGACATATAATTCGAGGTGTAGTAAACTAGAGCTTGACCCTTTATGGAAGAGGAGACTCAAATTTAACCTTATTTTCTTTCTCAAAATACTTAACAAACTATCCTTCACATCCAGTCAGGCGATTCAATATGCTAAAGCTTCACATTACGACATTCGTAACTTATTGTCTTTAGCGAAACAAACATATTCTAGATCTTCTCTCTATATGAATTACTTTACCTGTAAGTTTTCTAGGCTTTGGAATAATCTATCTCAAACTATCCGTACGTTAAACTCTCTCCCATTGTTTGTTCGATCCATTACTGGCTATTGCTCTTCTGAAAATGCATTAAATGCTCTAGCGCCTGTAAGTGTATCTTACTCCACAAGTGAGATTATCGGAACTTTAAATGTTTAACCTCTTACTTGCTATCATTGTTTTGTTGTTCCGTGCTCTTTGCTTTTATCTTACTTTCTCTAGTTGTAGATAGTTATCAATAAATCGCTCTGGCACTGGAAATAACCTTACAGAACAACGTTCATAAATCATCAGGCTATCCACTTAAGAAAAAATGACAAGTTCCCTGGTGTTGCATTGGCTTGTCATGATATATGCCATATATAAACTACTTATCAATTACTAATCCAGTAAACATAAAAATTTCTTATATTTCATGTTTGTTCTCTACATTAAATGTTGCTTTTTATATCAATCTGATCATGCCTGTAAACTGGCGTGAATTCTGTAAATATTATTTTCAGAATATATTATTATTATTATATGAAACATAACTGAGTCGATCGATCGTAAATAGAAAAATCTGTCAGTATGTGTGTTAGATCCTGGTGAAGACATGGGTACAAGTAATTTCCGGGATCCATCAATTAACTATTATTCTATATATATATATTCCTATTGTATAACTATTGAGTAATTAAATTCATCTCTGCTTACCATATTAAGCAATTAGATTGTGTATATCTATATTCATCTTTTTAAAAGCTTCATTTAGACCTACAAACTATTATTATACGATTTACTGTTCCTAAATCATGTTCAGTTGATTAATTACCGTCTCCCACGTTCACAGCCACATTTGGCTTGATCTTGTAAAAATATTATTTTCTATTTTATGGTGTGATGCGGTCTTTCTGTCTGGTATATAAACCGAGTATGTTTGAAATAAATGATTCGCATAGAAGAAGCTCTAATTGGAGTTCTGGCCAAAGGACCAATAAGGACGCTAGACTGCTCATACTGGTCGAACGTCATTGATTTGGAACAGTGTTAAGATCAGATAAGTCGTATCCGATTGGTGGATAAATCACGTGACAAAAAGCCGGACATAAAACCACAACGAACATTAGTACTATTCTGAGTAACGAATATATTGATGAACTGTTGCATATCCAGATTACTAGTAGTCAACTGATTCTATCGTTGCAATCATAGAACTATTTCTAACAAAATGAAACTTGCATGAAAAACAATGTTCCTTAAACAGATCACTAATAAAAATTGGAATATGATCTGATAAACTGACTGTGTGAAGAAGTTTTCTTACACATCTTTATCTATAAATGCATTTGAATACTAAGCAGAGACGTGTGATATGACAAGCGTTCTATACTATGGTTATTTGCGATAGATCCTACCAGTATAAATTCTCCTACTTAGTGATTTTATATGAATCATCTATCAAGTACAAGTTTATGTATGAGGCTTTAGGAGATATTGTGTGAAAGTTAAAATCTGTAACGCACTTGTGAAAATCTAGATAGGTAGAGCAAGTTTGAACCTGAGAGTTATTAGTCTAAAATCCAATGTTTTAATCATTAATCTATCAATCTCTGAAGGATGTCAATGACTTTATTCATCAAATAATGTTGGTATTTCATATTTCATTTTGGTTCGAAAGAACAGTAACACCTATTCTTAACTTGAATGAATGACACAAATAAAATATTAAACATTAGAATTAATTATTTAAGTGTTTGCGATTTTAATCATGATCTATTTTTAATTTTTGACATGAATTAAATAGCAATGTTAACACAAGTAAATCATCATCATTAAGTTCGTCAAATTAACTAACTCGTTTATAATCCAATTCAGTGATATTTTGTGATTGCAACCATTTTGTGATAACACCTTCTTTGAAAGGTCCAGTTAAACCACCACCCTGTTGTTGAATTTGTCGAAGTGTACTACATTCTGAAACCTGATATAAGAAATATACAGAAAACAATAGTTTATTTTTTCTGAATGTATTTAACATAATAATCTGTAATAAAGATTGTAAAACTATGCAGATCACTAATTGATTGCATATATTTTGAACAAATATAATTTATGTGCAAATATGAAAATACACCAATATTATCAATGAATATCTTATAGAGTTAACCACATAAATTATAGAAACCGTTATCGGCTAATAAAATTATCGGAAACCGAAGGCTATTAAACATATTAGTTAGTTCTATTATCAAACTTCTTTATCAGTTTGACCATGAGATCGAGTTTCATTATCATAATTAGTATGGTATTTTCATATCAATGAGTTAAAATATAATTAGCTAGAATGTTTATTTCAATCAATTCTCTAGATGGTTCAACAGTCAACTAACATCTACACGAAGTTACTGTTGTACTTCAGACTAGACCAATATCTCTGATCATAAATTTCCACTAGAATACTAGAGGGATTTATGGCAAAACTAATAAAAAGTAAGCAGGATTATTTTATAGTTTCCATTCTAGTTAAAGAGTTTTTATCATTTTGATTCTATATACCTAAATAGGATCAAACACAGAATTCTCAAGTGGAAGGCTTGGTTATGTCCTAATGATCGAACGGTATTAAGAGTATTGTGAGACCTGTAGTTCATGGATCGATGATCGACAAATAATTAGGAAATTTCAAAACAGAAGCAGCACTTCTTAATAGTCAACTATTCTCTAACTAATCTTTGTTAAAGAAGAGGAAGACCTAAGAACACATTACGCCGAGAAATGGAGACAGATATGAGAAGAATGAACAACAACTGGATAGAACTCGAAAGAAAGGCCCAGGACAGAGTGGGCTGGAGAGTGCTGGTCGGAGGCCTATGTTCCATTGGGGATAACAGGCGTAAGTAAGTAACTAAGTAAAGTCTCTAACTAATGTAAGTGAATACTATCAAAATGTTCGATTTTTACTAAACTTAAACTGACGATAGTTGACAAGCCATTTAAAACTAGAAAACAGTGAAAAATAAATCCATTCACATCACAGACACATTAGCAATCTGAATTAACATAATACTCTGAATCCATTACACAATATACAATCTAATATAATGTTGATTGATGTACAAGTACATGATAAACAGTAACTTATACGGTTAAATACAGATTCTAGGATGTTAATGGTTTTGATTTATTCAACCAAAACTAGTTCAGTACAATTAGTTTTATATACCACTCTTTCTTGAATCAAAGATGATATATGGATTTAAACCATCCACTTTTTCAACGAACTTCATGTAACATGTCTAAATTAACAAAATGGGATAGAAGAAGACAAAATTTACTGTTTTCACACCTACCAATTCAATAAAACCTTTTTGTTCTTCAGTTGGCAGAATACGAAAATGAATCATGCGTAAATCTAATCCAGCGTCTAACCATATTCGATCCATAAGAAAAGTCAGCTGACAGATTAAACTATCCAGGCGTAAATCATCACCGACCTTAACGAAAACACAATGACAAAGGTGAAAACAAATTGGTGTAAAAATAACAATTGTCACTATAGCGTTGTGGAGATTGTTGAATTTTGATTGAGATCATCACGCCCGCTGCTGAGCAGTCTCATACTAGGACGAAACAGCCGTCCAGTTAATCTTTTCAGCAAGGTATATTTTGGGGAAAAGTTATTCCCCTTTATTTCCACTTGAAGTAAAACAAAAAATGTAGTGAATCCCGATGTCATATCACTTTAACTGGCGACAATATTCGAACCATACTGGAAGGATTTAATCTGGGCTAAGAGCTAGACAACATGATAATGACTAACACTCACTTAACGATCGGTGTGAACACTTCAATTATACGGTAAAATAATTGTTTCCTGAACGGTTTGGCGTTAATACCTTTAGTTGTGATAGAGATTGATGCTAGTTTGAATTCAACGTTGGTTAACAATTAGATAAAGATGGAAGATACATTTCAATTTTGAGCAGCAACGAGCAATAATTCTAGAATTATGGATTTTGTCTTATCGTATCTAACCGCCAATACTAAAAAAGTGTTAGTTTATTTAGACTAGAGGACGTACTTCAACCTAGCTGATAAAACTGTATTACAACCAAAGCCCGGACAGTACGGAGTTGCTACTGACTCATTGATGATCAGTTAAAGTAAACTAGAACAGAACCTATGTTTATTGACACTGACAGTGGATAACAACGACGGTGAACCAAAGGAATCTCATTTCATTCGACAAAAATTATTCGGAAACGCATTTGACCAATAGCCTTCTTATGTTTACATACGAAAGGTGTACTATGGATAAAAATTTTATACAAAACCATGCAGTAATCTAATATGCATCAGATATTTCGCGTACGTTTTAAAAAATGAACTGAACAAAGAAATACTATACCTTAACACAACGAACCAATTGTAATTTCAGAAAGTAGATGAATAAGATGAAAATGTTCAATTCAGTCAAAATTTCTGGTAAACTGAATTTAACTGCTCATAAGTAGTTAAAAGATACAATTTCACAAAACAACCATGATTTATTTCTTAATGTTTATCGAAACAATAGTTAATAATATATATAAATTTTTGAGACGACTAGATACAACAGATTTTCGGAAACGTTCAGTAGATAGACTTAGCTTTTACTAAATTAGTGTTGACATCTAACAAGACATATCATATTGAATAGAGCAAGAACAAAGAACTACGGAGAATAACGTGAATTCTTCTCATTTCCCATAAGCTGCTTACAACCTACGTCATTTTAAAATCAAAATAATCGTAGAGTTTACATATAACAGTAAAATTGGATATGTATCATCATGGTGGAGTAATGAGTTTGGACTTTTAAAGTGTTGTAAATAAATATAATATATTTGAGAAGATTCTGGATCACCATACATAGGAACTAGACTATAGGTTTTTAGTCTACTGTGATGTTCTTGGGCCTAAGACATAGATCTGAGTAAACCACACCAAGACATACATGTTTAATGGTTTTTATTAAATTGAAGATATAAGTCAGATTTCTTTATAATTTAAGTATGAAAAAAAGTGTGTGATAATTCTAAAATGTGTAAAACGACAAGATTATATATACATGGGTATATGCTATGAATAATTAATCAAATAAATATCTCTGTAAAAAAGCCATAACAAGAACCGGGAAAGTTTTTTACCTTGAACATAACCATGAATGGTTCAGTACCGGCATCCAATGAATGAAATACAAGTCTCAATGGGCAAGTGAATGATGTAAAGTAAGAACAAGCCTTAAAAAGAAAAAACACGAGTTGAAAATTAATCAAAACTGTATCTGGCTATCTACAAAATCAAATATTACAAAAATTATTTCGCTCTTGTACACATGCATATGCATATGATTGTAGTTTTTTAAGAGGTAAAATCTATACAATTTAAGGGTGATATCTAACATAGTCTAAAACTAACTGAAGAAACATTGACAACCAAAAAAATGCATTTGATCTTAGAGATATCCTGGTTTAAAAGTACTCCACACGGTACAGTTGACTAAAACTAAGGAATGTCATGATAGCATTGAAATGTTAGATCTAAACAGCCGGTTGGTTATACACGTTGACTACGTTAAATCAATAATCATGAAATAACAAGCAAATGCCAATTGCTTACGGCTAATCGACTTTACAAAAGACTTATGGAAATAACTGAGACACTGAAGAAAGCTCTGAAACAGTCGAAAAGAAAATGAAATGTATCATCATCTACGATCAAATCTTATAATATCATGTTTATAATTAATCTGCCGAACAAACGATGTAGAATAAGGATTGAACTATATGACTTACAGTAATGTCAAGTCTATGAGTTAATAGTCCAGGGTTATATGGCATTCGCAAACCAAGATCATATTGAGATAGTTGATATTCACTTTGAATATTATCGACAGATTTGTTTTTTGACCATTCTGAATCCAGTTTGGAGAAATCGCTGATCAACTGATCATCTGCCCAAGAATTCGATCGTAACATTGAAGAGTTTTTATCCATTGTTTCAATGTGTGATGATGATGACGATATATCATGGTAGTGTTTAGGAAGTTCAGACATAAACCGTTTTAAATGCGTATAAAGAATGTTTTCACGAACTGAAGCGTTTGGTCGAGCCTGTTTAACTTTTGTTGCTGATTGCAAAATGTACACATGTGAAATCATAAAAAAACGGAAAATGAATGAATTCCCAATAAAACAGCAATCATTCTACACGAAATTCAATTAACTCCATCAATATCAGTAGTGGGAATGTTGCAACTAATGGTTTAATAGAATACAGACATACGCCTATTGTTATATTTTAGTGAAGACATATGAACGGATAATTTCCGGGATCCATTAATTGACAATTATTCTATATATATTCCTATTATATACCTATTGAGTATGTACCTATATTCATCTTATCACAAGTTCCATTTTGACCTTTAAATTATTATTATACGATTTACTGTTCCTAAATCATGTTCAGTTGATTAATTACCGTCTCCCACGTTCACAGCCACATTTGGCTTGATCTTGTAAAAATATTATTTTCTATTTTATGATGTGATGCGGTCTCTCTGTCTGGTATATAAACCGAGTATGTTTGAAGTAAATGATTCGCATAACAGAATCTGTATTTGGTGCTTTGGACTCAACTGGAAGGGTTAAACAGACAAAGGACCAATAGGGACTTTAGACAGCTCATACCGGCCGAACTTCATTGGTTTGGCACACCGCTAAGATCCGATAAGTCGTATTTCGATTGGTGAAAAATTCACGTGATAAAAAGCCAGACATAAAATCACAACACCTACTTCTCTTCATTGAAGAAAATAGGCAACCCACGAGCATTCTCTATTGAACTCTGTCCTAAACAACCGTTGCAGTTGTTTTCAGTTGCTATTCAACCTTTTTATGTCTACTTCCAATTCTCGGCTCAGTATGTTCTTCGGTCTTCTTATTTTCCGTTTCCCTTTCAGGATTCCAGGTTAGCGCATGCCTCGTGATGCAGTTCGATGATTTCCGTAATGTATGTCCTATCCAATTCCAGAGCCTTCTTATAATTCCCTCATTATTTGGGAACTGGTTCGTTTTTTCCCACATTAGGCTGTTGCTGATGGTATACATCCAATGGACTTTGAGTATATTACCTAGACAATTATTTAGAAATACCTGTACTATTTTGATGGTTGTGGTAGTTCTCCAAGTTTCATCTCCGTACAGTAGAACTGTCATGACATTCTCATTGAAGATTATCATTTTAATAATGATTGACAGCTGTTTTGAGTTCCATATTTTAATTTGTAAGAATGCCGCTATGACTTGGACAATCCCCGCCTTTACGTCTGCATTCGATGCTGCATCCCAGGGAAGTGAAACATTCCACATCTCTCAGAGTTTCACGATCAAGTGCGATTGGGTTGAAGTTCTCTGCGTTCTATTTGAGAACTTTGTTTTCTTCTTGTGTATGTTGAGGCCTACTGATGTAGAGACTGTTACTACACTAGTTGTCTTGACCTCCATTTGTTGACGTGTACGAGACAGAACAGCTAAAACCTCTGAGAAGTACAAATCTTCTAATTGATTCAGAGCTGTCCATTGTATTCCATGCTTTCCCTCAGATGTCCAGGTCTTCATAATCAAGCCGACCACCAGAAGTCAATGAAAGGGGTAGAGTAGACAGCTTTCTCAAACTCCAGTCCTCATTTGGAATGCATCTATCAACTGTCCTATATGCCCAACTTTGCACTGTAGTCCATTGTATGAATTCCAGATGATGTTGGCGATTATCTTAGGTACTCGTAACATAGTATCGAAGATGTGTTCATAATGTTCTACTATCCACGTTGTCAAATGTTTCTCAGAATCAAGAACGCATAGTGATGTATAGTGACGAATTCCATTCAATTGATTGCTTAGTGATGTTCCGTAGTGTCGCGATTCGGTCTATGCACGACCGATGCTTACGGAATGCAACCTGTTGATCTCGAAGTTGGGCATCTACCGAGTCTTTCATCAGGTTCAGCAACACTGTTGAAAACCTTCCCTGTTACTGACAGTAGTGTGATTCCTCTGTAGTTCCCACATTTACTCTGATCTTCTTTCTTTGGTATCTTGATGATGAGGTATATTTCTTTCCAGTCTGTTCACACTTGTTCTTACTCCCAAATCCTCATGAATGAAATGTGGAGCATCTCTGCAGTTGCTTCTATGTTTCGCATGAGTGCTTATGCTTGTATGTTGTCAGGTTACACCAGTTTCCCACCCTCGATTTGTCTGACGACCGGCCATCCTGATTTCTTCGATCATTGGTGGAGTGACATCTGTAGGAAGTCTGTGTGTGATACTTCGAAGTCCAGTGGATTCAATGAATCTGGTCTATTCAATAGTTTTTCGAATTGTTCCACCCATCTGTTCCTCTGTCTTTGAATTTCGGTAGTTCGATTGCCTTTTTTGTCCTTGACCGGTTTCTCTAACTTACTATATTTCCCTATTAGTTTCTTCCTCGTGTCATATAGTTATTCCATATTTCCTTCTCTCGAAGCTTTTTACACCGTCGCTGTTAGGTGGTATTCCACGTATTTCTTCACGTCAGCTGTAATGCTCTTCTTCACTTGCTTGTTTGCTTCTATGTATTAGGCTTGTGCCTTGACTTTCTCTGTTGTTGCTGTTGGGCTGCTGTTAATTACTGTCTTCTTGTTATTTTCTTTCTTGAATTTTCTGTAGGGTTTCGATAGAGATCCATTCCTTAAGATGACGCTTGTTGCGACCCAGCACTTCCTAACACATTGCCGTTAGTGCTTCTTTGACCCCTCTCAAGTTGTCCTCTATTGTAGTTTCTTCTTCTTTCAGTAGATCTCGTAAGACATGAAGCCTGTTGTTGAGAATAAACTTGAATTGGTTGAGTTTGTCAGTATGTCGAAGGAAGGCTGTATTGAACATTCGTAATGCTGTTTGTCCAGTTGTCTAATGCTTCTTTAGCTTCAGTTTCATCTTCACAACAATCAGGTGAAGCTATGTCAGCTTCCCTCCTGTTTCCCAAGTTTCCGTTGACCTACTGAATTTTCTGTTGATACAACCATGATCGATCTGGTTGTGTGTGGTGTTGTTTGGTGAGACCCTGTAGCTTTGTGTATGCGTTTATATGCGAATATTGTTGTACTTATAACCAATTTGTTGAATGCACATAAATTTGTGAATCACTCGCTAGTCTCTTCCCTTTCTCCCAGTCAATCCATGTCGTCCCATGATTTCTTCATATCTGGTGTTGTCCACTACGATTTTGGCGTCTAGGTCTCCCATCAGGATGGTGAGATCCTTTCTTGGGAACTTCGCTATGACTGATTGCAGCCTCTCATAGAACTGATCTTTATTGTCGTCGTTGGTATCATTGGTTGTTATATAACATTGGATAAGATTCATCGTGATTCCCCCCTTCTTTGTTTCGAGTGATGCTTTGATAATCCTGAATCCGTGAGATTCCTACCCTATATGTTTATTCCTTGCTTCTTTGAACAGCATCAGAGCAAATCCATCAGTGTGTGTAGGATTTTCTTCTTCGTTACTGGATTACAGAAGTATCTCTGCAGTATCTAGCCTTTTCTGTCTATCATGGGTCCAATGGGTTTCGCTTATTCCTAGCACCGTCAAGTTGTATCTACTCATTTCCGTTGTTATTTGAATGATCCTCCACGTCTCCCACAATGTCTGGACGCTTCATGTACTTATAAAAATTGTTGCTCTGGTTATTACAATGGGCATCGGTCTCTTGACTCTCGAAGAATCTTGGATTTCATCATGAGGTGTCATAATTCTTCCTTCAACTCTAAGGGCAGAGTTTAAATGGTTTAAGTTGTTTCTTCTGATCAGCGTTTTCTAGAATGGTTATTTTCTATTAGTTGGGGTTGCTGACCCCATGCTCAACCTTCTCCTTTACCCTGGTTTGTGACCGGCAGTAACCATAGAAAAGCTATAGGAGGAATAGTATAAGGTTCGGTGAACTGGACAAAAATTTAAACCACTACAATTATCGAAATTCGTTTTTCATTAGTCGTCTTAATGACAAGAAAAGAATTAAAAATTGATTTAAGAAATATGGAACTTCACTTATTTTCCGCGTAAACTCTCAAGATATTTTATTTTGTTGGAGAACTTAATAGATTAACTTCCACACTTACATATCTCTCTTTCTACATATTTATATAATCTTTATAATACCGCGTTTACACCAAATTTATTACAATAAGTGTTCAATACCATTTCCAGCATTTATAGTACAGGAAAAACTACACCTACACTGTCAGTTAACAATTTTGATCATTTATTCAGTTCTGGAAAGCATGGAAATTAATTGATCATGATCAACAGTCTTTTACATAAATATACTGTTAAAATTACGAATCTGGGGTCCATACTATTATTATCAAAAATTAAAGACATGACCATATACACCAAAATGTAGAAGCCTACAATAACATCATATTTCTTTAAATCATATTTTCATTTATTGGTCAGAAAGATGTGAAGATAGTGAGAAGCGATGAATTGTTGAAAATCTATTGCTTATTAGGATTATCATCATCATCATAAAACTTGGATTAAAAAAGTAATAGAATATTTGATCATAGACAATATCTAATAAAAACAATACGAAAAGTGAATTTACGAAAAACGGTCAAATATAAATATTTACCAGTTACAGACAAGTGATTAATCATTTCTTCTTGACGTTTCCACATAACATGTAGTCTAGAATCTGCATTCCAATATAGAGCGGCTTGAATAAAACGAAAACGTTGTAATTTCCATTCAGATATTGATTGAGGATGATGTAACATTGGATAAAGATACCTTGAATATTAAAAGAAATTCTATATCAGTGTAAATAAGACCAATAAATAACTAGTATTCCATAAAAATGTCTTAAAAATGAAAAAAATCCTCAAAAATAAGATTTAATTCGATTTACAAAACAACAACATAAAAATAATAGTGAGTCGGTGAACCCCTTCACCTTACGTAAAGAGATAAATACATAAATAGATCTTGTTCACGTTCCTCGTTTCGTCACTCTAAATCAGCAATTCGTTAGAGACAAACCTGGCCTAATAGTAGAGATAGTATAATAGTACTTTAACAAGATATAGACATCTCAGTGACTGTATCCAAATACTCGGGTACAATGAATGCAAATGAAAAGCCTTGCTCAAATATCCGCCTACAAATGTTATCTACTGGTTCATATGAATAGCCAACGATACATGATCTCTTAATTAATGCTAATTATGAGACTGTACATATTTAGATATATTATGTGGACAAATTTGTGATAAATACTGTAATTAACACCTACTCAATATGTAAATACTTTGTTATATCAGTAAGACTGTGGCTATAAAATCTGCATAAAATTTGTGAATACTTTTCAGTATATACATTATTGTGATTGCTCAAGTCAAAGAGTAACTGTTTTTGCGTTGTTGCCACCAGTCCTGAGCAATATCACCCAACATCTCTGACAACTGGTCAAGATAATAACCAGGAACCCAACCATTAATCAATATGGCTTAGCACAAAAGCCATCGACTTGATGGACTGATTTCACGCTTTGATTTGCCAATATTCATTCTCTATAAGTTTGATGTGTGGGCGAGAATGTCAATGATTGGTTGTCTCGATGAGTCAGACATTAGAGGGGATGACAGGTGTTATGTGTTATATATATATTTCCCTATCCTTATTATGTATGACTTATTGACTGTTCCATGTGTCGGATTTTGGTGTGAAATATATTGACGTTATAGTCAGGCTAATATTGTGTTCTTGATCTGAGTTCTGTTGAAGTCCTGTAGAATAGACACTGGGTGGGAATCTAGTGTAGATATTCGTCTAAGATAAATTAACGTCCCACATACGTGTAAGAAGTAAAAGGACTGCTATAACCAGAAACCCCTAAAGTTATAACCAGCATTCTCTCTCTCTCTACGTTTATAACAATTGGCGACGGCATACATACGTTTATAACATTGGCGACGGTGATTAAAACGGATCTACGCTTACATATTCAATTAAAGTGAATTTTGTAACAAAAATGGATGATCTGAAAACCTTGTTGCAACAGCAAAATTCTTTAATCGAATTATTAATCAAGAATATGTCAATTTCCTCAAGAACGAATGTGTCTAATTCCACTATGACTCCGGATTCTATTGCAAATTCAATAACTGAATTTAGATTTGATCCAGAAAGTGGAGTTACTTTTGAGGCGTGGTTTAAACGCCATGAGGATTTATTTATTAATGAATGTAAAGAGTGGGACGAAAGTTCAAAATTGAGATTATTATTACGAAAGCTCGGAGTGTCCGAACATGAAAAATTCTGTAATTTTATCCTCCCAAAGAAGCCATCCGACATAACGTTCAAAGAAACAGTTGAATGCCTGACTCGTATATTTGGTGAACGGTCATCAATTTTTCACACTAGATACCAGTGTCTTCAACTTGTAAAGAAAGTACAGGACGATTATGTAAGGTATGCAAGCATCGTGAACCGGGAATGTGAGCGGTTCCGATTACAGGAAATGTCCTCAGATCAGTTCAAGTGCCTTATTTTTGTATGTGGATTACAATCTCCAGTAGATGCAGATATTAGAGCACGGATTCTAGCGAGAATCGAACAAGATCCTAATATCAGTCTACAATCAGTATCTGAAGAGTGTCAAAGAATGATTAATTTGAAGCATGACACGAAACTCGTAGAAAGGAACAGTGAACACGTTGGAGTTAATGCTTTACGTAAATCTTTTAAAGGAAATAAAGATTCGAACTCCCAGAAAATCCCGAATCAAGTGAAACACAAAACGTCATGTTGGCGATGTGGTAAGTGTCATTCTGCCAATGTTTGCTATTTTAAAAAACGAGTATGCTTTCAATGTGGTAAATATGGTCATGCTCAAGTATGTTGTAAAAGTAGGCCGAAGGTTTCTGACCGTGAGCATAAGTTCCGTAAACGAAATAAGATGCAGACTTCAAAATCAATACCGCATAACTCAAATGTTGTTCTGGCTACAAAAAGTGAGCATTTCTTCTCTAAAAGGAAGTGTGTAACCATCTTTTTCGATGGCAAACCGGTCAAACTACAAGTCGATACTGGGTCTGACATAACATTAATTTCTAGAGAAACTTGGATTAAAATTGGTCGACCCCGATATCAACCTACATGTCATAATGCTAAGAGTGCGTCAGGAACTAATATTACTCTCCTTGGAGTAATACAGCTACCTCTCATACTAGGTGAAAAGACTATGACCGGGAAATGTTATGTCTCCGGGAACTGTAATACCAATCTATTAGGTATTGATAAATTTGGTTTGTGGGATTTACCGTTGAATGTGCCGAAAGCAGAATCCCAGTCATGGCCAGAAACGACAAAGCCTTGGGTCCGACTACATGTTGATTATGCTGGACCGATAAGTGGACAATATTTTTTGGTGGTGGTTGATTCATACTCGAAGTGGCCTGAAATTTATGTGGTACGAAGACCATCTACGTCTGAAACACTGCTACATCTGAGACAACTATTTGGTAGGTTTGGTACACCTAATGTTTTGGTTTCAGATAACGGGACGCAGTTCACGTCGTTGGAGTTTGCGGAGTTCTGTAAACAGAATGGAATCGAACACGTTAGAACTCCACCGTATCACCCTAAGTCGAACGGGCAGGCAGAGAAATTTGTTGATATTCTTAAACGAGCTCTCTTAAAGATGGGAGGAGAAGGCAACGTAGAAGAGGCTCTGCAACAATTTCTCATTTCTTATAGAATTACGCCAAGTCCAAACTGTCAAGATGGGAAATCTCCAGCCGAAATAATGTTTGGCCGACCGATTAGAACATTTTTTGATGTTTTGAACCCGAAAGACAGAATCAGTGAACTACAAAAAAATAAGAAAGGGAATTGCCTGAAAATTCGAGAATTCAAAGTAGGTGACTCAGTCTATGCACGGGATTTCCGGCCTGGCAAGCCAAAATGGATATTTGGGTTTATAAAAAAACGACGTGGTACAGTATTATATGAAGTGATGGTCGAAAATACACTAATTATTAGACATGTAAATCAACTGCGAGATAGAAAATGTGTTTATGAGTCATCTAAACTCAAACCATTACCAATGGAAGTATTATGTGATACGTTTGATATTCCACCACCACCACCACAAGTTGAAACGAGAAAAAATGATCTAGAATCAGAAGTTAGACGAAGGTCATTCAGGAAACGGAAACAAACGAAATTTTTTCAAATAGACCCTAAAGTGAAATCATACGATCAAACTTCGCGAGGGAGGTGATGTGTGGGCGAGAATGTCAATGATTGGTTGTCTCGATGAGTCAGACATTAGAGGGGATGACAGGTGTTATGTGTTATATATATATTTCCCTATCCTTATTATGTATGACTTATTGACTGTTCCATGTGTCGGATTTTGGTGTGAAATATATTGACGTTATAGTCAGGCTAATATTGTGTTCTTGATCTGAGTTCTGTTGAAGTCCTGTAGAATAGACACTGGGTGGGAATCTAGTGTAGATATTCGTCTAAGATAAATTAACGTCCCACATACGTGTAAGAAGTAAAAGGACTGCTATAACCAGAAACCCCTAAAGTTATAACCAGCATTCTCTCTCTCTCTACGTTTATAACAATTGGCGACGGCATACATACGTTTATAACATTGGCGACGGTGATTAAAACGGATCTACGCTTACATATTCAATTAAAGTGAATTTTGTAACAAAAATGGATGATCTGAAAACCTTGTTGCAACAGCAAAATTCTTTAATCGAATTATTAATCAAGAATATGTCAATTTCCTCAAGAACGAATGTGTCTAATTCCACTATGACTCCGGATTCTATTGCAAATTCAATAACTGAATTTAGATTTGATCCAGAAAGTGGAGTTACTTTTGAGGCGTGGTTTAAACGCCATGAGGATTTATTTATTAATGAATGTAAAGAGTGGGACGAAAGTTCAAAATTGAGATTATTATTACGAAAGCTCGGAGTGTCCGAACATGAAAAATTCTGTAATTTTATCCTCCCAAAGAAGCCATCCGACATAACGTTCAAAGAAACAGTTGAATGCCTGACTCGTATATTTGGTGAACGGTCATCAATTTTTCACACTAGATACCAGTGTCTTCAACTTGTAAAGAAAGTACAGGACGATTATGTAAGGTATGCAAGCATCGTGAACCGGGAATGTGAGCGGTTCCGATTACAGGAAATGTCCTCAGATCAGTTCAAGTGCCTTATTTTTGTATGTGGATTACAATCTCCAGTAGATGCAGATATTAGAGCACGGATTCTAGCGAGAATCGAACAAGATCCTAATATCAGTCTACAATCAGTATCTGAAGAGTGTCAAAGAATGATTAATTTGAAGCATGACACGAAACTCGTAGAAAGGAACAGTGAACACGTTGGAGTTAATGCTTTACGTAAATCTTTTAAAGGAAATAAAGATTCGAACTCCCAGAAAATCCCGAATCAAGTGAAACACAAAACGTCATGTTGGCGATGTGGTAAGTGTCATTCTGCCAATGTTTGCTATTTTAAAAAACGAGTATGCTTTCAATGTGGTAAATATGGTCATGCTCAAGTATGTTGTAAAAGTAGGCCGAAGGTTTCTGACCGTGAGCATAAGTTCCGTAAACGAAATAAGATGCAGACTTCAAAATCAATACCGCATAACTCAAATGTTGTTCTGGCTACAAAAAGTGAGCATTTCTTCTCTAAAAGGAAGTATGTAACCATCTTTTTCGATGGCAAACCGGTCAAACTACAAGTCGATACTGGGTCTGACATAACATTAATTTCTAGAGAAACTTGGATTAAAATTGGTCGACCCCGATATCAACCTACATGTCATAATGCTAAGAGTGCGTCAGGAACTAATATTACTCTCCTTGGAGTAATACAGCTACCTCTCATACTAGGTGAAAAGACTATGACCGGGAAATGTTATGTCTCCGGGAACTGTAATACCAATCTATTAGGTATTGATAAATTTGGTTTGTGGGATTTACCGTTGAATGTGCCGAAAGCAGAATCCCAGTCATGGCCAGAAACGACAAAGCCTTGGGTCCGACTACATGTTGATTATGCTGGACCGATAAGTGGACAATATTTTTTGGTGGTGGTTGATTCATACTCGAAGTGGCCTGAAATTTATGTGGTACGAAGACCATCTACGTCTGAAACACTGCTACATCTGAGACAACTATTTGGTAGGTTTGGTACACCTAATGTTTTGGTTTCAGATAACGGGACGCAGTTCACGTCGTTGGAGTTTGCGGAGTTCTGTAAACAGAATGGAATCGAACACGTTAGAACTCCACCGTATCACCCTAAGTCGAACGGGCAGGCAGAGAAATTTGTTGATATTCTTAAACGAGCTCTCTTAAAGATGGGAGGAGAAGGCAACGTAGAAGAGGCTCTGCAACAATTTCTCATTTCTTATAGAATTACGCCAAGTCCAAACTGTCAAGATGGGAAATCTCCAGCCGAAATAATGTTTGGCCGACCGATTAGAACATTTTTTGATGTTTTGAACCCGAAAGACAGAATCAGTGAACTACAAAAAAATAAGAAAGGGAATTGCCTGAAAATTCGAGAATTCAAAGTAGGTGACTCAGTCTATGCACGGGATTTCCGGCCTGGCAAGCCAAAATGGATATTTGGGTTTATAAAAAAACGACGTGGTACAGTATTATATGAAGTGATGGTCGAAAATACACTAATTATTAGACATGTAAATCAACTGCGAGATAGAAAATGTGTTTATGAGTCATCTAAACTCAAACCATTACCAATGGAAGTATTATGTGATACGTTTGATATTCCACCACCACCACCACAAGTTGAAACGAGAAAAAATGATCTAGAATCAGAAGTTAGACGAAGGTCATTCAGGAAACGGAAACAAACGAAATTTTTTCAAATAGACCCTAAAGTGAAATCATACGATCAAACTTCGCGAGGGAGGTGATGTGTGGGCGAGAATGTCAATGATTGGTTGTCTCGATGAGTCAGACATTAGAGGGGATGACAGGTGTTATGTGTTATATATATATTTCCCTATCCTTATTATGTATGACTTATTGACTGTTCCATGTGTCGGATTTTGGTGTGAAATATATTGACGTTATAGTCAGGCTAATATTGTGTTCTTGATCTGAGTTCTGTTGAAGTCCTGTAGAATAGACACTGGGTGGGAATCTAGTGTAGATATTCGTCTAAGATAAATTAACGTCCCACATACGTGTAAGAAGTAAAAGGACTGCTATAACCAGAAACCCCTAAAGTTATAACCAGCATTCTCTCTCTCTACGTTTATAACAATTGGCGACGGCATACATACGTTTATAACAAAGTTAAACACATCTGAGCTGCAAATAATAAGACGTTTCTGTAAAGAAATTCTGATTCGGCAATTCGCAATAGAAAATACTATTAGACCGAACTATAAAAATTAACAATGAGAAATCCATATACATTGTTTCGATTTTATTTCTGTAACAGTTTTGAAATCGTGAAAGTCAGTTTTGATTATTGGTGGGCGAGATGACTAATTTTTTATGAATTTCTTCATGAAACAAGTTATTAGTTTTAAAATATTACCTGACAACATATCAAGATTCGATAAGAATGTATACAAGAGAAGAAAATCCTAGATCCCTTGAACAAATACTAACATATCTCGCTTGTTAAACAGGTAGAACTAGCCATTTAAAGGCATTTACTACGACTTATAGACATAAATATGAAAAACATGACCGGTCCTACTTATTTCGTCACATGCACCGATACGGACCCAATAGCCCTTTCCTAGATTAAACCTTTCTTGATTCTTGAAAATCTAACAGAAAACGAAGTAGAAAATATGACAAAAGTTGTACTTGTCAAGTTAGTTTATGTACAGAAAACAGATGTATATGTATGGTTTTAGAAGATCCTTGTTTTCTAGAGGCTTCGACAAAAGTTATTTAGATATTCGGTAACTGTACAGCCGAGTTTCGAAACTAAAATCAATCATTTCCTAAGTGTTTTTTTAGAATTTTCCCGAAAATGTTAATTAGCCAAAATATTTCCAAGTTTTCTCTGGCTTTAGAAGAACATTTCAAGGAATTGTAGATGACCAGTTAGTTAACCAACTCAACATATATTACTTAAATTAGTACTAACAATGTTTAGTTATTATGAGAAAATTTGCGATATAACTGTTGACTGAGCCTAGTTTATATCCAGAGGTGTTTAAGAAGAATACACTTTCATTGTGTACTTTATTCCCAACTTTTAAATTAATTCTACCATTTAATCAATCAGTTCGGGAAAACCGATAACTTAAATTCTTGCACAATCTAAAAAATTCACAATGTAAGCATCATACTTGGCCCAATCACGATTCACTGTAATTGAACCGATGGGGTTCGTCAGTTTGTCATCAGTATACAACATATCCACTATACAGTTTACATAACGTAATAATTTATTTCTTCTTATTATTCATAACTTACCAATATAAAGAATTGGCGAATCGCATTGAAAATGCAGCTCTATATAAGAGTAAACTTACTAAACCAGAATAATCAAGGTATAAATCATGATTTACAGCCTAAGATGAAAAAAATCGGAAAAACAAGGACATTATCTTGAAGAAAACAACATGAAATCAAGCAGGAAAAAAAAATAACGCCAACGTCCAACACAAGACTATAACTTCCATTGAAAAACTAATAAGTATAGTCTATATAATTGATAAATAGCATGGAATAAAAAGATGGTTGAGAATCAACAGAAATTGAATAAAATTAGACATGAAAATCATTGTATGTCGGTTTAATAATTTGAAAGTTAAGTGTTCACCGTGCGAACCGAAAGTCTTGTGATCGATTCCAGGGGGAAGTCATTGACGGACCATGCTAAGTCCCAGACCAAGAAGAGCAAGCTGTCTTCTTGATTTTCAAAGGTTGACTAAGATCAACATATGATGTAAATTGTAAAATTCAACAATCCCTAAACACATGGTAAAACAAATATTATTTTGGAACATGGTGATAGTTAGGTATTATAGTGATAAATAAAAACGTTCTGCTTACAACCCAACCCTATGTTTCGTTATTGAACCATCAAATAGTAGATTAGTCTAACTATATATTGTAAACTACACTAACATTCCTAATTAAATGAACGAATGATTTCGGTCTATTTAACTAGAATATTCCTAATTTTAAATAAGAAAAAGAGGATATTCCTGGATTTTCATGAGTGATACAATTAGGATTTCTTATTATTATTGGGAGAAAAATACTAGGTAATCTCATTAATAAGTCACTACATATGAAACGTTAAACAATCATTTATCGCGAGTCTAGACGAATTCGACATTCAGTGAAAATAATTCCCTAGGGTTGCTTAACTTGACCACATTACAGTTAATCTATCGGTATGGATAACACCGGTTGAATTGAACTACATTGTCAGTACGTCCAACTATTGCAACTTATATCAACTGGCTACCTAGTCAATGAAGGAATAAGTTGTATTCATAGTGAATTTTGTAATTTTCATAAAGAATGATTACCTTTCAAATAAAAAAAGAACTTGAAAAGTGTACTAGTCATTAACAATCTATGATTTTGATAGAGAACATTACAGCATACAACATAGACTACCAAACAGACAAACGACTATAGGAGTTAGGTATAAAAAGACAAACGTTATCGCAAAGACACATATAATACAATTAAATAGAGCAAAATTAAAAGTACCTCAATTATTTGAGGAAGATATAAAAGAAGATTATCTGATGACAGTAATGATAATGCTCTAGTAGCCCAATGACGTATACCTTGGTCTGCAACATCCGATGAAAGTAGACGTAGAATGAGACCAGGATAAGGCACTGGAGTGACTGCTAAAAGACTGAAGTAAAACAATATTAACTTGAATAAAATATCAGTTTTGTGATGAATTATAATTAGTTGTTGCGTAGCATGGAAATGAAATAAATACCTTCAAATAGCGATTCAGTACACAAATCAAGTAGGTAATTCGACTTACTAAGGTATTCAAAAAAATTCAAGCAAGGTAGTCGAATCGCTAATTGTGAGATCTAACCTCCCAGTCCTTATAAAACTAAATGAGGCAAAGATTGAAGAAGTAAAGTTTGGTGAAGCATAAGCAGTTATGTACGTAAATTATACAAAAAATTAAATGTATTGCTGGATGATTGAAACGAACATGGAGATTACAGTTAAGTCCGCATCAATCAGCCATAATCAACGTAGAGCTGCTAAAAACGTATTTCGACTTATGAAAACAGATATCAAATCAGGTGGGTTAGCATGGTAGGAAGTGAGTTACCTATGGAGTATTTATTAGAGTTGAATATAATATTGAATATAATATAATTTTTTTCCAATTTTTAATCAATCTCTTTATACAGAAGGTTTTCTCTTGATGAGCTAAATAGAGTTATCAGTTATTAATGACAGAAAATAAAGTTGTGACTACAAGCACCAAAAATAATTCAGACCCTCGCAGTCGTAAAGGCAGGTTGATTGTCCAATAAAATCAGACTAAACTGCACACTAATCAGAAGATAAACTAGCCACATTTCATTGACTAACTGCTTATTGTTGAGAACATAATTCAATATTTAGTTGTAGAATGTGATAATCTATCGATTGAATGCTTTGGTAGTCCGACTGATATATTACAAATCATACTTTACACGCTACGTAACTAGCTTAAGATGACCAGACAAGTACCATCATTAACCACTAGACACAAAAGAAATTTGGCTTAACGATGAATCTGTAGTCGATAGTTATTGAGTTACAACAAATTCAGATCACCAATCTGATAAATTCTTAACACCGGATTTTCAAAGTGAAAATAAACAAATTCTTTCGAAAATATCTCAACGAAAGTAAAATGCACAGGTAAATAATCAATAAAACCAAGTCCACTGACAAGTACATATTGAATCCAAGATTGCCAGGTTTGATATATCCATATCAGAGTGAGTGGTAATGTACCAACCAATTATGGATTTTTAAAAAATAAGAGTATGATTCACACGACTAACAGGCAGTACAAACTTTATTGTTGCATGTTATTTACTACGATAGGTTTTGTACACCATAATAATCAGTAAAGTAAACACTAAAAAGTTCATACACATAAATACCAATAAAACAAACTCAAATCACCCGTATACTTCTTTCAGTAATTTTTGCCAACACCATTTATCCGTATCACTTTTTAAATTTTGTCTTGTTGTTTGTGGCCAACTAACCAGACAACTGATAACAAATGCGATCATAGCATCAGGTACATCACATATAGAATAACGTAGATTCCATAAAACTTCAATAGCGATTGCAGGTGGACATGGTAGATAACAAGAGACTGAATTGATACTACATGTTGTTAAATTATTACTAGTACTATTATTACTACTATTACAACTATTAGTGTTATTATTATGATTGTTATTATTATTATTATTACTAGAAGTAGAGTTGTTCCCAATATGACCACTTGATCCACTACCACTACCACTGATACCATTATTACAACTACCATTGCCAATCACATTTCCATTGTACTGATTAAAAGATGAATTCATAGAATTGAGTACAGCTAATTGTAAAACAGGGATTGGAACATGTTCTTGTTGTTTAGATCGATGCACTGATGATGATGCTACACTATAAGCCATTAAACATCCATCAAGAGATTTAAATGATAATTCTGGATTTAATATTTGCATGAATATAGCAGATTTAGCTTCATTAATCGACTGTTTTGCATCGGAACAAAGTGATTGAAAAGATGAAACTCGTCTGTAAAATCAAAAAGAAAAAAAACTACTTCATGATTTTATAACAATTCTAAGATGTGTATTTCACATTTTAATGTTATTTATTTTAGAAACATGTAAGAAACTATTTTTCAAAACACGAATAAAATTAATATTACCATATATCCTTTTGTTACATGATTAGAACTCTATTTTTAAAACCTAAGAGCACCTAATAGCTTTTTCGCTTTAATTTAGCACTTTACAACAATACACAACACCAAGAGACTGGATACAAAACGTACAAATTGCAGTTGAAACGACGGTGATAACATTGTGAACCACTGGATTCAGAGATATTACACTTAACACAAAACCTAGATTACTGCCATTAAGCTTTGACGTGATATATCGAATAGGCATTACTGATACGTTTCAGACCATGACGAAAACAATTATCCAAAATCACATCAACACACCATTCAGGCTATAAAGAAAAGTATGTTGAATATTGTAATTTGCACAGTAAACGTCCTTTTTCGAAACATCTATCGATTCAGGTAGACCAACATTCGCTAGTTAAACAGTGTTTTGAACTCAGAAAATAATATCTGACAAATATTAGAGATCTATAACGAGTTAAAAGAAAACAAAATATCTACATTACTGCAAAATTACTCCCCATATTTATCCAAAAGAATTTGAGATTATATTATGTATATAGTTGAAAGTGAGATTTTCGAGTTGGAAAGTATTAGTATCAAAAATATAATAATAAGAAAGAAGTCAATAATACATGAATGAATCCAAAATATAAATTTCCGAATATAATAAGATGATTTTTGTTATATATTGAAAGAAAGTACACTTTTACAGGGATTAATTTTACCAAGTGAATATTATTAATCCCCATTTAGTCAATAAAGTTATAGGGATAAATGTAATCCACTAACTTGAAAATAGATTGATCAAGATACATATGAACAAGACTCACATCTCACTAAAATTCTCTAATTCACTTTCTGATTGGATAATGACAGGAAATTCAATTTCATATTGATATTCAGGAAAACAAAGCTACAAACACATAATAATAAACAAGCAAAGAAATACAGTTATATACATTGTTTACAATTTGATAGTAGATTAGTAAAATACAGCGGCGAGACTATAACTTATAGACGAGCCAATCAGAAGCGTTTGAGGGATCTCAAGGTCACGGCAGCGATTTCAGTACCTGGTGCTCATGTACGTATAGTTCACAAAGGATTTTAGATAAGACGTGATGATCAAGCGGCTACAATGAATGAGACTACTAAGAAGTTCCTTTATTAGTAATTGCGGTAATCAAATGACTCGTAGACTTTGTGCAGACTATTGTGATGTAATATATATTGGAAGAAGAAGTCTCCCGGAATAGGAATTTTTTCCGCTCGATTCAGATTGAGACTAAGGCAAATTATATTAATTCTCGCGAATTGTATAACAAAAGTACCAGTAACATTGGTCGAAATATTCGCAGATGTTACTGAAGCTTAGGCTCTTCAATGTTATAGGTACTGTAGGAATATATGCGTAATAAAAATGACAAACTTACACAACCGAAGTACATACAAACAATACTGAAGCTATGTGGTCGAGGTTGAGAGAGTTTCTGCGACCTTATCATGGCTCCAGAGATCGAATATTATGGATCCATATGGATGAGTTCCTCTACCTTATGCATTGCGATTTTAGAACCTTTGAACGTTTTTCTAACCTTGACAAGTTTTTGAACCATGTGGAAGAAGTGCATCCACTCTAATTATTTGGTTTTGTATAATATATTTTTGCGCTAGACTAATTGATTCCTGATTGGATAACTTTCTCAATGTCACATTGGATTCGTTCAAAGTTCGTCCGTAAATTATAGTCCCGCCAAATACCGCTTCAAGCTAAACAGTATAAGTCGCTTGCATGTAGTATGCTACTCAAGCACAGATTTTTGAGTTAATGAAATAGGAATTGATGCGATAAGTAAATAAAAATAAAACAACACTGAAAGCATCTTACCTGTACAACTGGACATCCTGGTGAATTATTTGATTGGGACCATGTAGGCCGATATTCATGCATTAATTCAGATGGCGGCCAAAGACCAACAATCATTGTGTTTTGTTTTAATCGACCATTTATATCGAATAAAGGTACATTTACCCAACCGATTAACGTTCCGTCAACTGTAATAGAGTTTAATTTGTTTTCATGCAATAAATATATTCAACTTGAAAACATATCAACCTGTAAAGGCATATGTCTGTTACACTAGAGATACATTTTGTTCAATTGTTACAGAGCCTCTACCAGAATCGTTTAATAAAGAATTACAGTAGATCTTTGAATTCATAACACTTGAACAAAACATCAGATTCATATTATAGCTTTAAAATAATTTACAACTCTATGGGTATTTGTTTAGACTAAACAAGTGTTTAGCATGTGATTTACAGTCTACGGTCAATCATCACTAATATATTCCATTTAAATAATCATAATACAGGAAAACAAAAGTCACATAAAACGTTTCATGAGAACAAATCACTAAAACTGAATAATTCATGAGCATTGAGATGGAACAGACCAGCCTGAAAACAATCTCGTCATAGACAGACATCAACTAAGAAAACACAAGCGGAAAATATAGAGGAATGTGAAGTTATTTCCACTTACTAATATGATACTGATAAACAGGATTAATCCTCAACACTATACAACACGAAAATAAAATCCTTACGCCTCACCGTGAACATTCACTCAGTTAATTGGAATATGAATATCATTTCCGAATTTAATCAACGTGTGGTCAGTACTGAGTGGTCATAATATGACGTCGAAATAAAATGGGTATTCAATTATTTTATCATTCATCTGATCATTTTGTAAGAAACAAATAAGACTTTAGTATTTACTTAATTAAAATAAAAAGGGTAAATCGACGACTCCTCGTTTTCTGATTGCGCAGATTGCGTTAGGACAATTTGTATAAACACAACAAGATAAAACAAAAGTCATTAGTGTTATTGGACGTAAAACAAACTCATCATTAGTGGACTCAATAAATCAGTAATAAGTCTTCTTACTTGAACGCTAGATTCGATTCCTAAGCCTTTCTAGTAACCCGCAGCGACTTGAACACGAGATAAAAGGCGCGAAATATGGAAAAAACATTTACTTCAAAGGTTCGTTTATGAACAGAAAATCTAGGGTTTTTATAGTCTTTTAGATGGCCCTGGGCTGTAATACTACATAGTGACAGTATAGATAATCATCCAATCAGAATCTCGGCATATGACTTTTCACTTTCTAGATGTTTCTGGCAAAACGTTTATTGAATGCTGATTGGATAAGATGCTTCTCAGAGTTTTTAGAGCACTTTTTGGACTTTTCCGATGAGTCTTCTGGATTTTCCTGACAATCAGTTACCCCATTAAGTGATGAAAATGAAGTAGACTTCATATCAAAGAGAGCTGTGTTTTCCCCAATTTGTGACGCTGCAGCAACTACAACACAACCAGGAATTCAACTTACACTACACAGATCTCATGGTAAGCCATATATATCTTTAAACCATTGGTTTCACAAACCATTTTACATAGTTTCGTAAATGTACGATGAAATATTTCAACTGAATATAAAATACAAGCATACAAATCGTATTTATTAGTTTATATCTCATCATATCAACTAACCATCAGAATTGTCCGTACTCAATTTCTTACACCAAAATAAACTAATAGCCAACATTGCTTCTCGTGGAAGTTGACTAATCGTGAAACCTATGCAAATGGACAATAAAAAGAATCACATAAGTAGTGGAAACAAATAATATTGTTCATGTATTACATATATTTGCTCATAATTAAATAATATTTAAACGCCAACCATTATTAAGAAAGATAGTAAGTTTAATCAAGAATGTTTTATCTTCTAGTAAAGAAAAAGACAACTGTCTACAATAAATACCAATAACATATTAACAATTACTTAGGCTGTAATTGTATATCAGTAAGCAAATATTGGAATTCCTAAATTTGAAAATATTGTCGAAACTGTATTATGGGTCCGTGTTTGATTACGTAAATAACTGTATTAAAAAAAACTAGGATTCATAATATTCTAATATTAAGAAGATCCTGAATCATATTTTAAACTATCAATAATATCTGTTCAGGAGTGAGCTATTCCATTAATTGACTACAAATCAATAAGTAGAAACTTGGATACTGACTATGTTGTCTACAAATTACATAACCTCTAGGAAAAAAAAGGTTTAAAAATTGATTTCGTTTAAGTTTTCAAGTAGGAATCGTTATTGAAAAGTTCCAAATTATGACGAAACAGAATTAAAGTAATATTTGATTGTTAATATTTCTTAATCTAATAATGATTCATGATGAAAAATATTTTCTGAGTGATTATCTCAGAGCTGAAGAAGAGAACTTATGTTTCCGATATAAAATAAGCGTTCGTTACTAGTCAATAAGCCGTTCATGTCATGTCATTCAACTCATTGTCAATACTGAATTTTGTTATTTAACTTAAAACACACATCAAAACTGGTAAATGTATTTGATAAAGGAATCAAAAATCACAATGAAAACACCATGAAACATTTGAATGAAATTTAAGCGAAATACTTATGAATGGATAGCATAACATTTCACTAATAATATGAACTATTTTCATATAAAATACAGGTACGACTATCAATAACAAATAAACAAACTCGTATAAAGAACACTGTATTATAAACAGAGAGTACAGTTAAACTGATTATGAGGGTAATTCTTAGCTCCAATTTCGTTCCTTCTCCTATATATATATATATATATATATATATATATATATATATATATATATATATATAATTTTATAAATAAATGGATTGAGTCAGGTGACATACACATAAGATCGGATACAAAAAATCATTAAAAATGATAGACTTAAAAATTTCAGTAAAATAGTTGTTGAATAGTGAAAGTATAAAGTAAATTTAGATCATGAAAACAACAAGACATTAGTATCGATTACATTAATGTAAATAAAAAAAGATCTTGCCTAGATCATATATGGATAAATGCTGTGCAAAACAGTGTACACTAAGGCAGAATAACAAAATTATGGATGAAATATAATTAAACACTTTGTTGGAATTGTATAACTTTTTACTTTTAGAAATTGTCATAAAAGCTATGTCACGTGTTATTCATCTTGGTGTAAGCGTCGCTTTCGATTTCTTCTAGAGGCTACGTGTTCTTAGCATTACCATTCTTCACATAACAGGATGTAAACACACCAGAATCTATGTACGCAAATGAAAGTACAAAAATTCTATTATACTGTATCTAGCACACAAACAATGGGACGAACAAGTTTAGAAGGCTGATCTAAACAAAAATCGATGCTTTAAAAAATGTAGATTATTTAGTATTCTAAAGATAATTATTTACTTATAAAAAGTTCATTTAATTTTAGAAATTCCACTTATCTATTTTATGAATAGATATGTATTTTGTGACGTCTACGAAGAGTAAAGGGAGTTTTTCGAAATACTACACTCTAAGAATTTTACGTTGTACTAAGCACATTATAACAAAGAGTAATATAGTGAACTATCGTTTTCGATAACTTTTTCATCAGTCTCTATGGCTATAAATCCAAAAGTATTACTGAGTTAACTTGGCTCACATTAGGGTAATTTCATTCTTAGCTCCAATTTCGTTCCTTCTCCTTCAACGTGATTTGCGCTCCCTTTCAAGACATTTACCTTATTCTTAATTACACGTTTATCTTGCTAATTTTACATGATATTTCAAGTAATAATTATTCTTTATATCACTATTATGATGATTATAATCATTATTGCTACCATCACAACTATGACACAACAATTCCTATTTTGTATTAATTTTTTACATACGATTTTAACCCATTTATTCGGACTTACCACCTTAAGGCATATAAATTTTATTACCCTTTTATGCATGATTTCTTTTTAACATTACTAATAATGTTACATTGTTTCATCGGTAATTTGTAGTACTTAAGATTCAATAGACCTGAAAGTTGTCATTTTCAGTTTAAAACACGAACTAATTCAAATAATAATGGAAATTTGGGGTTTGTAACTGTAGAGTTTGACGAAGAAGTTATCAAAAATGGTCGTTCGCTTTAATACTCTTTCTTCTTGAATATTTATCGAGAACTTTCAAATCACAAGGGGTTTTGTGGACATTATAGTAATTTTAATAGTTGAGATCGTGGGTGCATACTGATGAAGAGTCCTACAACGGGACGAAACGGCCGTCCAGTCCTTTCAGGTTTTTCACGGTAGTCTAACTTCAATTGATTCGTGATCTCAACTTTTAAATTGCCAAATATATTATACTGAATAGAATTATTATTATAATTACTAAAAAGCCAATTATGATTGAGGTTGACTTGTAGACCGATTGTAAATCGAATGATTTACATTTTCATTTTTACGACATGATTTCAGCTACACAGTTTTAACTTACCATGCCATACTATATGTTATATTGGAAAAAAAGCATACTTTCTAACTTCCAAAAGTTGATAACTGTCAAATTATATAAACAAATTGAAATTATTTAATAGAATGATCAGCTTATTTTACAGTGAGTAAAATCTTTGGTGTGAAGTGAATGTAATGAACCATTGGAATATTTGAAAAGTCAAAGACAGTATATTTTAGTAAAACAGTCAGGTCAGGGTCAGTTTAACAGATAACGTAAATAATATCACCATCGACTTTTTGACTCCGTAATTGAATTATCAGTACCTCACTTATTAGTTATTCTTAACACAAAAATTATAATCTATACGTTTATGCTGTTTTAGGATTATATGAGAAATTGTAGTGAAATCGATACATTCTCTTACTTAATGAGTTTTACATAAAAGTTCTCTATACATAGTCAATTCCTCAGTAAACAAAAAGTACGATATTTATTGAAACAGCTTAGTACATTAGACCAGTGAGAAATGTGAACAATGAAAATTATTTACATGTAAAATCTATTGGTTAGAAATGAAGTGTTATAAATTAAGAAGTCACAGTTTCGTTGACTTAGATTCCACACTTGGTAACATATTTCACGGGAGTGAGTTAACCCCTTGTCAGGTATTAAATGTATAGTATTCATATAAACTTGTGTTTGACTGGAAATCTGCAAGTTTTAGGGAGAGTATTAAAGTATCTCAAATTTCTCCACTGTGCTAAACAATACTTGCGGTGTTAAAGAAATTTAAGATTGAACCTCGTATCTAGTTTTCTTAAAAAGCGACCATAAAATTATACTTCAAAAGTTAAACATACTTGGAAATTTGAACCACTGGTCAAATTGTAAAACTTTAGGAAAACCGGACTGAATTGTCTGATAACGACCAGGATCACTGATGAAATAATCTCTAAAGCAATTCTTTTTATTGTCACGTGATAAGTGATTGCTAGTCCAAGAGATTTCTTTCGTGTGATTTTTATAAGGCGATGATTTATGATGATTGTCATTTATATTATCATGATGAGTAGTCAATGAACTGGGATATACCTTGCCTAGTGGTCGTCCAGCGTACACTAAACCAAGGCGTACACAATAATATCCATCTGTTCTGGAAAATATGGATATTAGAAAAGTAAATTCAACAACTGAGACTCGTCAAACAGATAATGGGATTTTATTGTAAAATAAATAGACATAATCAGCATTCAAATAGACAGGGAACTATCTGAATAATAAAAGTTGTCATCGAACAAATAAATTCCATGGTATCTAAATTATTTATCAGATTATTTATTGTGTTTGTGTCATTAAATCCGGCAAAACTTATGTTGAATCGATGTCAAATACATAATATCGTTACAGCATTGCTTATTATAACTGGACTGATAAAAATTTACTAAATATTCCAAAAACATACGAACGTAGTGAGTCAACCATATACAAATTAGAGTCTTATGCACGTTTGCATCGAAAGAAGCAGCTATACTTCGCATTAATACAACGATAGGGAATTGATAAGATGAAAACTAGAGGAATGAACGTCATATGAAACAAATTCGGAACAAATTACTACTTTTAAGACACTGCATACAAACTCATAGGGGTAGAAAGATTCATTGGGTTTCAATTAAATTGTCATGAAGAAACGAAAAACCAAGTAAACTCAATAGTGCTTTTGAAGTAATCTGAACGACATTTATCAGGAGTGTATGCACCACAACTATCTAACACCTTTCAAATTTTGATACGATACTATGAATGTTTTTTTCTTAAAGTATTTAGAAACCTTATCACTATTTCATCTTCACAAATAATCAACACATATTTCTTAAATTCATCCCTCTTTAGATATTATGCTCGACAATTTAGGAGCAAATAGATAACATCACCCAGCTACAAGTTAAAATATCATCGGTTTATGCATTTTTCTTGTGAAACAGATAATCGTTAACATGAATTTTAAAGTTGTATAACTCTGAAATTAATTGACAAACTGAGAAGTGATCGCAATCACTTTCATTGATAGTGTGGATAATCATCAGACCATTCGATCATCTATGAAAGATATTCAGTTTTTACAGCTGAACTGAATACAGTTAGTCAATTATTATTAGCAAATCTTCTCATAAAAATTTCATCTATTGCTTTTTCGGTTTACAATTTCTTTATTTATAAAACTGATTTCAACCTGACAAAATTCTAATCTTTAAGAAGAAAGACATTTATACCCTCCGTGTAAAATGTACCTTGAACTAACATCACGCAATTTCAGTTGAAACCTTTCACAATAGTCAACTTTAAATATTTGATTAAGGTGGAACTTTATGAATACTGTAAACTAGACGACATACTTTTAGATAATTTTAATAGATTATTTATTATTTTCCAACAGTAAATTTGTTCTAATAACATTCTCGTGTTAAATACAATCAATTCCATTTCAATTACAGAAAATAAAACCGAAACGTTAGCTAATTATATAATTCAGTACTATAAAAAATATTTAATCAATAGTGAATAGGTTAAACGTTATTATAATGAACAAACAAATAAAATAACAATCTCAAAAGATAAATAGTAAAATTCTCTTTAACAAAACAATCGTGATGATCAGATTGAGTTGACTCACTGTTACCTTCTTAGGCTAATAACCATCGTTTTCAAAGCTAAATATGTGAACTTCAAAAACGAATTTCACTCTGATAGCACGTATTTGAAGATTTGAAGTACAATACGTGAAAATGTACCATTAGAAGTGATTAAACGGTCAGATTTACTTCAAGGTGGGTAAATTATTGAATGAATTAACATGTCAGCTAACAGGTCTGAGAGGATTAGGTCTTGCTTCTGAACATCGTCGTAACTGTCAAATATACTCAATGAAATTAGTTGGAAAAGCTTTCTACCTTTCAACAAATGATTAACTGATGAACATAATCCACTTTAGTTTGGATATCCCAGTATTATAACTAGTACATATTATCTAAAGTGTAGCTCGAAACAATGTAAGAGAATATGCACATAATAAATTGGTTTTTAAAAAAATATAAAGTTCACATTTCGAAAACAATTTATCTTAGATTGATATGGCAGTATTTTATTACTTAATGCACCTTTGAACACATGAAAAGTTCAACGATTAAATAAATAACACATGATTAGTAAAGTCAACACAATGACGAAAAATTGATTTTTATGCACACAAGTTTAAATTAAACAAAAAGTAGAAACAGTTGAACTCTGCCTATAACCTACTCAATATAAATTGAGTACGCTGATTAATTTGTGTGAGAATAATTTACCTTGTTGAAGATGTATTAGGATTGGTTTGACTAGGAGACGATGAACTAGACAAAGATGAATTAACAGTTGTATTGTTAATAATTACATTTGAATTACAGGTTCCAGTTGTTTTACGTGGTGGAGGATTGTGTATAGCGATAAGCCCGACGACTATAGCATCTAAACAATTGATGGAACTTTTCACTTCTCTTTTCTGTTCAGCTATGAAAAGAAAAATAAAGTTCAAAATCTACTGATGAGCAGTTCAAAACAGTCCGTATGACAATCCAATCAATCAAAATACCATACACACATACATAAATTTACTCCAACACTAGCCAGTCACAGATAATTATTCAATTACTGAAGTCGGGTCTAGTTGAAATCTTGATGGAATTAAATAATTATAAATCGCTAATTAAATTGGTGTAATCAACTTGTTACGGATGTTAGAGCTCTAAAAATTACTTGGTAAACGTCTCATTTTTGTAGTTCTATTATGGAAATTTAAACTTCTGATTTCGCTCCAAAAGCGCCCATTTTTACCTTCGGTTTGTAGTTTCCACTTAAAAGGATCTTAAATATCATTGATTCGTTTCCTCTCTTAGTACGCTATTTTGTGGTGTTTTCCAAAAACATCTTTATTCTATATAAAACGGATGATTAGTATGTTTTTTCGTTCGTGCTTCCGGAATGTGTATTTTTCGAGATTGAATCTGATACCTTCCCTCTTGTCACCAAGGCTGGGAAGCAGTGGAATAGCTTAACTTGTCCTGTTGTTGTGTTGCTGACTTTCGTTCCATTACCCGATCCTAGGCGATACCATTGTTAGGAAATAGTTTCTCTTGCTAAACTGAGTAGATAATTGAACAAAATAATTTACACTGAATGTGCACAATATTTTTCTTATAATCTTTTCCTGATTGTTTGATTCCACATAAAATAAGAAAACTAAGACAGAAAAGGCTAGATACTGCAGAGATACTTCTGTGATCCGATCACGAAGAAGAAAATCCTACACACACTGATGGATTTGCTCTGATGCTGTTCAAAGAAGCAAGGAATAAACATATTGGATAGTAATCTCACGGATTCAGGATTATCAAAGCATCACTCGAAACAAAGAAGGGGGGAATCACGATGAATCTTATCCAATGTTATATAACAACCAATGATACCAACGACGACAATAAAGATCAGTTCTATGAGAGGCTGCAATCAGTCATAGCGAAGTTCCCAAGAAAGGATCTCACCATCCTGATGGGAGACCTAGACGCCAAAATCGTAGTGGACAACACCAGATATGAAGAAATCATGGGACGACATGGATTGACTGGGAGAAAGGGAAGAGACTAGCGAGTGATTCACAAATTTATGTGCATTCAACAAATTGGTTATAAGTACAACAATATTCGCATATAAACGCATACACAAAGCTACAGGGTCTCACCAAACAACACCACACACAACCAGATCGATCATGGTTGTATCAACAGAAAATTCAGTAGGTCAACGGAAACTTGGGAAACAGGAGGGAAGCTGACATAGCTTCACCTGATTGTTGTGAAGATGAAACTGAAGCTAAAGAAGCATTAGACAACTGGACAAACAGCATTACGAATGTTCAATACAGCCTTCCTTCGACATACTGACAAACTCAACTAACTCAAGTTAACTCTCGACAACAGGTTTCAAGCCTTACAAGAACAACTGAAAAAAGAAGAAACTACAATAGAGGACAACTTGAGAGGGGTCAAAGAAGCACTAACGCCAATGTGTTAGGAAGTGCTGGGTCGCAACAATCATCATCTTAAGGAATGGATTTCTATCGAAGCCCCGCACAAAATTCAAGAAAAGAAGACAGTAATTAGAAGCAACCGAACAACAACAGTAGAATTCAAGGCACAAGCTGAATACGTAGTAGCAAACATGCAAGTAAAGAGCCGACAAACAAAAATACGTAGGAAACCTAGCAACGACAGTGGAGAAAGCTGTAAGAAAAGGGAATATGAAACAACTATATGACACGAGGAAGAAACTAATAGGGAAATATAGTAAGTTAGAGAAACCGGTCAAGGACAAAGAAGACAATCCAACTACCGAAATTCAAAGACAGAGGAACAGATGGGTGGAACAATTCGAAAAACTATTGAATAGACCAGATTCATTGAATCCACTGGACTTCGAAGTATCACACACAGACTTCCTACAGATGTCACTCCACCAATGATCGAAGAAATCAGGATGGCCGGTCGTCAGACAAATCGAGGGTGGGAAACTGGTGTAACCTGACAACATACAAGCATAAGCACTCATGCGAAACATAGAAGCAACTGCAGAGATGCTCCACATTTCATTCATGAGGATTTGGGAGTAAGAACAAGTGTGAACAGACTGGAAAGAAATATACCTCATCATCAAGATACCAAAGAAAGAAGATCAGAGTAAATGTGGGAACTACAGAGGAATCACACTACTGTCAGTAACAGGGAAGGTTTTCAACAGTGTTGCTGAACCTGATGAAAGACTCGGTAGATGCCCAACTTCGAGATCAACAGGTTGCATTCCGTAAGCATCGGTCGTGCATAGACCGAATCGCGACACTACGGAACATCACTAAGCAATCAATTGAATGGAATTCGTCACTATACATCACTATGCGTTCTTGATTCTGAGAAACATTTGACAACGTGGATAGTAGAACATTATGAACACATCTTCGATACTATGTTACGAGTACCTAAGATAATCGCCAACATCATCTGGAATTCATACAATGGACTACAGTGCAAAGTTGTGCATGGAGGACAGTTAATAGATGCATTCCAAATGAGGACTGGAGTTTGAGAAAGCTGTCTACTCTACCCTTTTTATTGTCTTCTGGTGGTCGGCTTGGTTATGAAGACCTGGACATCTGAGGGAAAGCATGGAATACAATGGACAGCTCTGAATCAATTAGAAGATTTGTACTTCTCAGACGTTTTAGCTGTTCTGTCTCGTACACGTCAACAAATGCAGATGAAGACAACTAGTGTAGCGACAGCCTCTGCATCAGTAGGTCTCAATTTACACAAGGAAAAAGCAACATCCTCAAGTACATCTCAGTGAACACCAACCCATTAGTACTTGATGGAGAAACGCTGGGCAGAAGAACATATGGAACTCAAAACAACTGTCAACCAATATCAAACTGATAATCTTCAATTAGAACGTCAAGACAGCTCTACTGTACGGGGATGAAACTAGGAGAACTACTACAAACATCATCAATATAATACAGGTATTTTTAAATAATTATCTACGTAATATACTCAATGTCCGTTGGCAAGATGCCATCAGTAAACGCCTGACGTGGGAGAAAGTAAAGCAACTTGCAGCTGAGGAGGAAATTAGGAAAAAAACACTGGAGTTAGGACACGCATTGAGGAAATCATCAAACTCTATCACGAGGCAAGAGCTAACACGGATTCTTGAAGGGAAACGGAAATTAGGAAAACCAAAGAACACACTGAGCCGAGAATTGGAAGTAGACATAAAAAGGATACATAGCAACTGGAAACAACTGGTGGTTTGTTTATACTCCTCCACGAGTCGTAAAGAGCGTAAGTAAGTAACGTGTTATAAGATATTCGGTCTTTTTCAAAAATAAGCTCGAAATTCTGGCCAAGAAAAATAATGAATTTGAAGATTACAAAACTGATCTATCACAGACTAATGAAGCTATTGTCGTATTAATTACAAGAAAAGTGATGATCATCAAGCTATTAATTTATTGCACATGAATTATACAATATTAAACGACATCATATTTTATATTGTACAATACTGTTGAAATGATGGAAAATATTTGCAGCTCAGATAGATCACCAAATACAAATTCAACTATAAAATTCACTAAGCTGATGATTTTATCATAGTAGAAAGCATGAGTCGATTGAAGCTAGACCACCATGGAAAACCTGGTGGTCTAGCTTCAATTGATTCATGCTTTCTACTATGAAAAAATGCTAAATCTCCACAAAACCCCTTCGGATAATTTTATCCTACATCAAAAACATCTACAAGATCGCAAATAAACAATTCAGGACGCTAGGAATACGTTCAGCGCACAAGCTCAGAAAATCTTTACAACTGATATTGTGAAGGTCAAAGAACACAACAATAAACGGAGACAAACCAAATATAATCTACGAAATAAGTGATAAAAACTACGAAAAGAGTTAAGTAGAACAGGGCGGATACCTGCGCCATCTACTTAAACATGAACATCAGCTAGCTGCTAAACACAACAAAAATGCTTAACTCATATAGATGCGTATGAGCAACTGCTAACATGGATTCGACCGGGAATTCGTTGAAATATTGGGAAAAATCAAACATCCATCAATTAATATACAGATCGAAATAAACTAAATCCACCAACTAATAAGAAAAAGGAGAGACGGAGATTAGGTTAGAAGTGAAGACAGAAATTCTAATGACTTACTTTTCATTGAAGTATTCAATGATGATGCTGTCGAGAAAGACAATGGAGGTTTCAAGATAAAAACCATCCAGATAAGAGGACAAAACATCTTTAAAAAAAATAGCTGGACAGTCGTTTCATAGTTAAATTTAAAACTAGTAACTTTAGTTTAAGTCATAATAGATCGGATCAATCATAAAAGAATGTCATTTCGGTCAATTTGTTATGGGACATGATTATAGAGAAATAACAGAAAACCAGCTTTAAACTCTCAAATGCACACATACATATACAAAACTTACACTGTTGACGGTCATTGAGAAATTCCCCATCAGCATCATCCGCTATGAGCATAGCTTTAGGTCGTCCACTTTTGGTATGATAAAGCTGTTTATTAGTCAAATAACTAAATGATTCATTTGATACACCATTGGATAAAAAATTATCATTCTCAATTAATTGAGGATTTACTGAGATATTAACATGACGCCATATAAAAAATGCACTTAGTTGACAAAGAAGATTTTTAGTCAACGATAAAATCAAATTATGTAGCTTCTTTCTTGATTGCAACTTTATACCATGTTTTAAATTGACAAGTGTTTTGCTTGTATTTTTAAGAGTGGATTGAAGGTTGGATACAGGTGTTGGAGAAGTCTGAAATAAAAAGAAATCGAAGGGGATAAGTTTCGATCAATCAACTGTATAGAAATGTAAATAAAATTCCAACATAACTGTCAATCAATATGCAAAGATTCTTCTAATTCGGAACAACAAAGAAATCTAGTTTAATGGCTTTTTATGTACCATCAAGTAGTGTGTAACTTAATGTCGAGTCACAGTTCAGTGACTATATTTACGTCTCATCAATACCATTTGATCAGCATCAATGACTAGAAAAAAAGAACAGTTTGTATTTTCACACTACAAAATGATATAAACTTTAAAAAAGTGACTTTGCCATCAGTATTGATGCTCAGCAGTAAAACAATAAATGCGTCATACGTAAATTAATTAACTGACGCAATAAAACAAGACAGTATCATAGTTGAATTCATTCTCTAAGTTCCTCTAAGTCATTAGTTAAGCATCATTTGAGAACTTGCATTCCTCGAAGTCAGCTCTTCGATTTGAACTGTATTTCTCATGTTAAGATCTTCATCGTTTTTGATATTAATTAGAATAACATACTGCTCATCTTGGTGATTTCTTATTTCTTTCGGATGACATGAAGCGTATAGACACATCGAATTAGTGCACACATGTGCTAAATCACATGTTATTAATGACTAACTGACTGACTTGGAAATTTATGTCCAAAAACAACAATATCATCACATGGGTGCATCATACATTTAAGATTAAAAGAAGCTAAGTGCGGCAAACGAGAGTAACTTTTAAATTTTTAGTAAGTTGAAAAAATCATCCTTCAGTGAAGATCCAACAGATTAAAGTGAACATGTATCCAGTAGCAACTCGAATAGTTTGCTAGTATACTGTGTTCCAACTCATTCGTCAGGCAATAACATGCTTTGTAGTAATACATGATATTTGTAGATTCATACTATAATAAATCGATAAAGTGTATTGCAGAAACACGGCTGGATAAAACTTCAGTGATAATTAGGTCAATATAAGTTGATGATTAGGAGTATTTCTTAATAATTGACGTCTTTGAACTGATCGATTTGAACGATTATTCACCGTTACATGTGGTACGACTTTTGATATGCTCGTGACGGATACATCAAGGCAACACGAATAATAAATGAATATACAAACCGCACATTTTGTAAGACAAATCTAATGCTCTATGATTGCACAATAAGAATTTGAAAAGTACTCACCCTAGTCTGTTTTCGCTTACAGGATGATGAAAACCAATTTTCCTGTGTAGTATTCTGTTGACTATCACTACGAAGGCTGCTAAAGTTTTTATTATCGTGACGTTTGAAACCGGTTACTTTATGATTTAAACCAATATCATATACAATATCCATTATACACACTTGTATGTTTCCTAATGCATTGATAACGTCAGAAAAAGCAATACCATAACAGACAGCTGCTAAGACAGCTTTTACTGACTGACATAAACTTGAACTGGCACAGTGAACTTCTTTTAACCATGATTCACTATCCACCTACAAATTAGTAAATAATAAGAAAATGGTAGCAAATAATTAATTCATGAGCAAAAAATTAATAAACTTTGAAGATGGTGCTTCTATATCATAGAATGATATTAGTTAAGGAACAATCGTAAATCAATACATACTGAAATAATCGTTTCTAATAATGCACACTAACGACAACACATAAAGGCAAGCACGAAATTTTTAAATTTTGTTGTAACACTGGATAAGAATAGCTCATCATCGGATGTTAACTAAGTGGTTGGATTGCAGTGTGTCCATCCACAAACATGACGACCATGGGTTTGACTTCATTTGAAATTCATATATGTATGCAAGGGTTAGAAGCTTAAAATAAAAACAAAAAAGCCGTTGTCATTCACTTGACCGAACCTCGGGAAAACGGAAAGGAGAAGAGATACACCCTCCGTGTATCTGGCGACCCTATGGCTAGTTCTCGCAGACTTGCGGGTGTAGAAATAGCACCTAGCACGAAGGCAGAACAAGTACTACTAGAATGGATCTCCGTTAACAGTCGCCTGTGTGCTGTTCGGCTTAATGGCTCCATAAGAACTCGGAGAGATAGGGACACACGTCATTGCTTTTTCGTCGTTTCTGGCTACACTCCTACTGACTGCAGCCCAGATGAAGTGAAAGATGACTTTTACAGAAAGCTCTCTGAACTTCTTCAAAAAGCTAAGCGTTCAGACATAGTACTCGTAGAGGGTGACTTTAATGCCCAATTAGGCAGCTTAAACCAAACAGAAAGACATTCAGGTGGATATTTTAGTATTCCGGCTCAAAGAACAAATATTGGTGATCGTCTACTACAACTTTGTTCAGACAATCGTTTATTTTTAGCAAACACTAATTTTAAGCATAAGGAGAGACATAGTCCTACATGGCGACCACCTGCACCAAACTAACGATGGACTCAAATAGACCATATTGCCATCAGTCATCGTTGATCTTCTATCAGTATGTCCACTTATCAACTTGGAATACGCAGATGACATAGTACTGTTTGGTGAAAACGCTGACAAAATGCAGAGTCTTCTGTTAGAATTGAGTAATAATTCCAAGATATTTGGAATGCGTTTCCCCCCTCTAAATGTAAATTGTTACTCCAGGACTGATCTGGGTCAACACTTAAACTAAGGATAGAGAGTGAAGTAGTCGAACGCGTCGACAACTTTACTTATCTTCGTTGTCTGATCAGCCATAATGGGTTGGTGTCTGACGAAATCTCAGCACAGATTCAAAAGCTCGTTTGACTTTTGCCAACTCACGTCACCTATGGCGATGACGAGATATCCGTCTATCAATTAAGGGACGGGTATATTGCGCAGCAGTTCGCTCCGTTGTACTTTACGGCTGCGAAACGTGGAGATTATGGATAGAGGATACTCGTATGTTACTAGTATTTGCCCACAGATATTTTAGAAATATTGCTTGCATCTGCTGGGATCACCGGGTAAGTAATAGTGAGGTTAGACACATGGTATAAGGGAATGATGGTAAATCAGTTGATGAGGTCATGAACCTTCATCGACTGAGATTGTTAGGCTACGTGTTATGTATGCCTGAACACCGATTACCACGACGCGCAATGCTGACTAGTATTGGGGATGGTTGGAAGAGAGTTAAGGGCGGCCAAACCAAAACGTGACAACAGTGCTCGAAGTCACCAACTTCTAGTCTGAGCCATGTTGGCAGATGCAGACTACTTGGTTGTAGTCCATGTGACTACCGTAACCAATGGTTGGAGACTCTGGGTGACATGGCTCAGAATCGATCACAACGGCGTAGGTGTCTACACTCTCTATCTTCCCTCAAACTGTGAGATTAAAATTGCTTCATATTTGTCTTTCTATATCCGTATATATTTATTTATTACCACCATTGAATTACCTACTTCTATGAATCCGGTGTTCATCTTGTTGTGCTAACGAGGTATGGCAACTTGGACCGATGCATATATGTGCCTGGTCCTACGCTGTAGCTAACTGACTGACTGCAGTGTAGTTCAAAGTCAAATACACAGGTCTACATATTGTACAAAATAGGGTATCACAATCAGTCATGATCAGATGATTGATTTGAAAGAAAAAACGGTCGAATATAACATTATCTTTGGATGGGTGATAAAGTATGGAATTCCATCATTACGATTGCAATCACTGTGACTACTTATTAAGTCCTACTGACCGCATATTTCAGCTTCAAAATTTATTTTGAATAATTACTCAAAAAAGCGAACTAGTTCATATCAACACTAAATGCTTCATCTATAAAGAGAGGAAGCATTTATTTACCTAATGATGAATTGTGCACGATCCTTTTATTCACGTGAAAACTCCCAATGAAATAACTTATATTAAATAACAGTGATATTGTTAGTAACATAGCAATGACAATTTCAAGACACAATATTTCAATGTGATTATGGCGCCTAATAAAGCCAACGATAAAATTGATTAAGTAAATTGAACATTCTATACAAACCATAAAGTTATTGAATCACGCATATAAACTGTGTTATATACACAAACTGACATTTACCAAACAAATATCTGATGTATAACGCACACACTATACACCATACTTAAACTTGAATATTCAACTTTTAGAATTATGATGTTTCACAAAGAGAACAACGTCTATGTGAGGCGATTATTTTCAAAATAAATATGAATTTAACTGAGTATCAAGGTTTGCTTATAAATATTCTTTGCTACAAAAATCGAATTGGAATCTATAAAATTACTTGGACAAACAATTGAATAAGTCGTTGATTTACCAACATTTAACTTCACGGCTGTGAAGGTAAAAGATATAGGTAGTCTGCAAGTTGTTGATTACAAGGGTCTTCGAAACATTGCTACCGTATAGTTGGACAAATGAGTGAGCAAAATTTAGGTTAGTCACAAAACACTAGGTAAAGATAGTAAATAGGTCGATGAGGTTGTAAAACTTTATTAAATGAATTGACACTGCTAGGAAGTCATAGTAATCAACAGATTAGTTCAAATAAAGACAGAACAAATATTGATGAAGAATAATATGAATTTATTATACTTCGTGGTTTCTCATCAGCTGCTTACAACCAAATATGTATCGGCCCCCAAATGCCATGGTACGGCCGAGAGTGGGGAGAGTCTGCTCTCCCTCTCGAAATGCTCTCATATGGCCACGCGTATATAGCCTCTGCCAGGGAAGTCCTACTCACTGCCTTCTCGTGGCGGGGGTGTTGTCCACAAAAAAAAGAGGACGAAAAGCGAGTGTCCGGCGCTTTAACCGGGTTGGTGGATGTGGAGGATCCACCTAGGGGAGTTGGAAAACCCTAATTCCAAACCAATGGTGCACATGGGCTTCAGTATCCTGAAGGAACGAATGGCGTATGAACCAACCGTTGATCACCGGCTACAATGGGATTGTATCTCCTTATGATGCTCCACTGCCTTGTGGATCAGACCTTTAGGTCAAAGGCTCCGGGTGTGGCCCCCTAAGTCTGGGCATCTGGGCAGTATCACAGCCTTCACACAAATCGAATGAGATTTGTGAGGCGCATATTTATCTGGTGCTTCCTTGTATCAACATTTATGTGTTTAAATAAATAAATAAATAAAAATGTATTAGAATTTTAGCATTGGGATAATAAAAAGTGTGGAACAATTGACATAATTGAATGTAAAGGATTGGAATAACAAAAGGTTATCAATGGTAAGTATATATATATATATATATATATATATATATATATATATATATATGCAAGGGAAGGTTAGAGGTTATTAATGAATTCATATTATTCTGCATCAATATTTGTTCTGTCTTCATTTAAATTCATAAAGGGAACTAACTGCATGAGATTAGTTTAAGCCTAACAAACTATGTAAACTACAATTTTGGATACTGCAAAAATTTTTGTTACTGATTTCGGAGAATTATAGGACTATTAAGTTTCAAATCATTCTTCAAATAGCTTCAAAATATTTATTAATATAAGTGATCCATTGATTACTTCATCCAAAGAATACATATGGTAAAGCTATTGAATTTAATCTAAGAAAACGTGACATTTTATATTACTTAATGGTTCTACAGTAGAAAAAAAGCACGTTATCAGTTAGCAATTTGCATAAATATTCCAATACCCATAAAATTATTAGATCACTACTATCTTTAAAATGTTTGTAATACAGGGAAAATCATTATCAATATAGTTATTTTTCAATAATAATATTATTATTAAACGCTGGTATGAATTATTATTATTACTGTTGTAATTACTATTATTTTTATTTATTTATTTATTTATTTAAACACATAAATATTCGTACAAAGGGGAACCAGATATATATGCGCCAAACAAATCTCATTTGATTTGTATGAGGGCTATGATACTGCCCAAGTGCCCAAACAGAAGCAGGTGGTTTTCTTAGGGGGCCACACCCCGAGCCTTCGACCTAAAGGTCTGATCCACAAGGCAGTGGAACATCGTGAGAAGATGCAGTCCCACGGTAGCCGGTGACCGACGACTGATTTATACGCCATTTTTTTCTTTCAGGATACTGGAGCCCATGTGCACCATTGATTTGGAATCAGGGTTTTCCAACTCACCTAGGTGGACCCTCCGTGTTCAGTGACCCGGTTAAGCCGCCGGACATTCGTTTTCCGTCCTCTCGATTTTGTAAACAACAGTAATGCCACGAGAAGGCAGTGAGTAGGACTTCCCTGGCAGAGGCTATATACGCGTGGTCATGTGAGAGCATTTCGAGAGGGAGAGCGAACTCTCTCCACTCTCGGCCGTACCATGGCATTTGGAGGCAGTTACTATTATTGTGGTAAGCAATTAAGCAAGCGCCAAACCGAATGGTACTTTTAAAAGACGTGATTGTTCTTGCTGCAAATAATGTGAAATCTACAAAGTATTCATTGTAAATATTTCATGAAAAGGAAAAAAAGCATGACTGAAAAACAAGTAAAATTACTTGTGCATAATTTTCCACAATACATGATCGAAACTTTTCCAACGCATTTTGAAATACACTATAACTGATGAATATATCTTCTCTGAAATTAAACATTAAAACAAAACACCCAAAAAAGTTGGAATAGTTGTAATTAAAGGGATTGTATGAACAAACAGTATCTATGGCATAATAAAAATAACAGATGTCAACTAAATATAAGTTCAGTATCATAATATATGATAATGATAAGTGCGACATCAATAGCTGTGAACTCAAATGAATTTTTTCGAGAAGCATTTGTTCATACATCCACCCCATTGACAATAGTTTGAACAATCATGAATTAATAAGAAGACATAGAAGAGTCAATATGATTTAAAGTTTAGAAAAGAAATTTATTGTACATCGCGTCTACATCTATTCAGGTGTATATATAACTGTGTTATTTGGTATCCAACATAAAGAATTTACAAAATGTATAACTTAAAGTGTGTGGTTTTTTATAGAATCCCAAACAATCAACATTTTCTTGTGATTCTTTATAGTCAAACTTAAATTTCCTTTGTTGAATTGTATAGTCAAGAAGAATGGAAAGGCCATTATATGTATGTATAGGGACAGATTACTCCTAATATTAGGCAACATAGTAAGTTTGATATCTGTTAACTATTCTTTCCATCAATTCAGATTTATTAGACAATGTATCTGGATCTACTTACAGACTGAATAAATAAGAATTATATGACAACTATTACAGCAACTTCGCACTACACAAACTGAAGTGATGGACCAGCGATTAAGAACTAAACCAGTTCTGATTGTCAACACGAAAAAAAGCTTTTTTATGAGCCTGCAGGCACGGTTTAACTAACAGACTATTGATAAACAATTATTGAGAAGTGAAAGATACAAAATCCCCTGTTTATACTTACTCAGTAGGTATTGGTCGATTATTTGTGAAAAAAATCTGAGGAACGAATTGTTCATTATTACTGACAGTCTAGTATAAAAAGGATTAAAGTATAATTCTCAGAATATATAGGAATACATAAATACATACAATGCTATTAAAAAACTTAAAAATATCTACTTCTACTCTTCATTTACCTACGTCAATTACAATCTAACGAATACATTAACTAAATAGAGTGAAAAATAGCATATGATGATCTTAAGATTCCTTTCAAAACCTGAATATATATATATATATATATATATATACTTACTTACTTACTTACGCCTGTTACTCCCAATGGAGCATAGGCCGCCGACCAGCTTTCTCCAACCCACTCTGTCCTGGGCTTCCTTTTCTAGTTCTATCCAGTTCTTGTTCATTCTTCTCATGTCTGTCTCTATTTCTCGGCGTAATGTGTTCTTTGATCTCTTCTCCTTTGACCTTCAGGATTCCATGTGAGGGCTGGTCTTGTGACACAATCAGGTGATTTCCTCAAGGTGTGCCCAATCCACTTCCAGCGCTTCTTCCTGATTTCTTCCTCCGCTAAAATCTGGTTTGTTCTCTCCCACAGTAACTTATCGCTGATAGTGTCTGGCCATCGGATCCGAAGTATTTTGCGTAGACAGCTGTTGATGAACACTTGTATCTTTTGGATAATGGCTTTCGTAGTTCTCCACGTCTCCGCCCCATACAGTAGAACTGTCTTGACATTTGTATTGAAAATTCTAACCTTGGTGTTGGTTGACAATTGTTTTGAACTCCAGATGCTTTTCAGTTGTAGGTATCCTGCTCTTGCTTTGCCGATCCGCGCCCTCACATCTGCATCTGATCCACCATGTTCATCAATGATGCTGCCCAGATATGTAAAGCTTTCCACATCCTCCAAAGCTTCTCCGTCAAGTGTAATTTGATTGGTGCATATTGTATTGTATCGGAGAGTCTTGCTTTTCTCTTTGTTTATATTGAGACCTACTGCTGCTGAGGCTGCTGCTACACTGGTCGTTTTCTCCTGCATTTGTTGTTGCGTTTGTGATAGAAGAGCCAGATCGTCCGCGAAGTCTAAATCGTCAAGCTGCATCCTGCCTGTCCATTGTATCCCGTGATTTCCTCCAGATGTTGACGTCTTCATGATCCAGTCAATCACCAGGAGAAAGAGAAACGGTGAGAGTAAGCAACCTTGCCTAACACCGGTCTTTACTTGAAACGAGTCGGTGAGTTGTCCTCCGTGTACGATTTGGCAGTTTAGTCCATCATAGGAGTTCCGTATGATATTGACTATCTTCTCAGGCACGCCGTAGTGTCGAAGAAACTTCCATAGTGTCGTCCTGTCCACGCTACCAAATGCCTTCTCATAGTCGATGAAGTTGATGTAGAGCGATGAATTCCATTCGATTGATTGTTCCACAATGATCCGCAGAGTTGCGATTTGATCTGTGCACGATCTATCCTTACGAAATCCAGCTTGTTGATCTCGAAGTTGGGCGTCCACGGAATCCTTCATCCTGTTTAACAATACTCGGTTGAAGACTTTTCCTGGTATTGAGAGGAGAGTGATGCCCCTGTAGTTGTCGCACTTGCTGAGATCACCTTTCTTTGGTATCTTGATCAGAAGTCCTTTTTTCCAGTCTGTTGGTACTTGTTCTTCGTCCCAAATCTTACTGAAGAGGATGTGGAGTATCTTGGCAGTTGCTGTTACATTTGCTTTCAGTGCCTCTGCCGGGATGTTGTCTGATCCCGCTGCTTTGCCTCTCTTGATTTGTCTAATGGCCATGCTGATCTCTTCAATTGTTGGTGGGCCAATATTGATTGGAAGGTCCGTGGGTGCTGCTTCGATGTTGGGTGGGTTCAGTGGAGCTGGTCGATTCAAGAGTTCTTTGAAGTGTTCTACCCACCTGTTTCGTTGTTCTTCAATGTCGGTGATTACTTTGCCTTCCTTGCATTTCACTGGTCTTTCTGGCTTACGGTAATTTCCAGCAAGTTTCTTTGTCGTATCATACAGTTGTCTCATGTTTCCTTCTCTTGCAGCCTTTTCCGCTGTCATTGCTAAATCTTCCACATATTTACGCTTGTCGGTTCTGATGCTCCTCTTCACTTGCTTGTTCGCCTCTCTGTATTCGGCTTGTGCCTTGGCTTTTTCCGCTCTGGTTCGGCTGGTGTTGATTGCTGCCTTCTTGTTCCTCCTTGCTTCAATCTTATCCATTGTACCAACAGTGATCCATTCCTTGTGATGGTGCTTCTTTTGGCCCAGAACGTCTTGACACGTTGAAACGATTGCCTCCTTGATACCTTTCCAGTTGCTCTCCATGGTAGTCCCCTCTCCATTGAGTAGATCATAAAAGGCCTGGAACCTGTTACTGAGGGCTATGTTGAATTTGTTGAGTTTGTCAGCATCTCGAAGAAAGGCCGTATTAAACTTTTGTGATGTTGTCCGCGCCGTTCTCCAGTGCTTCTTAAGTTTTAGTTTCATCCTGGCGACCAGCAAATGATGATCGGATGCTATATCAGCTCCTCTCCTGGTTCTCACATCCTCCATCGTCCTTCTGAACTTTTTGTTGATGCAGATATGGTCGATTTGATTCTGTGTAGTGTGATCCGGTGAAATCCAAGTGGCTTTGTGTATGTTTTTGTGTGGGAATATGGTGCCACCTATGACCAGTTTATTGAAGGCACATAGGTTTGCAAATCTCTCACCATTTTCGTTCCTTCCTCCCAGTCCATGTTGTCCCATGACGTCTTCGTATCCAGTGTTGTCCATTCCAACCTTAGCATTGAGATCTCCCATCAGAATTGTCAGGTCCTTGGTTGGGCACTTCTTGAAGATCGACTGCAGCCTATCGTAGAATTGGTCTTTAGCGTCTTCATCGTAGTCATTGGTAGGCGCATAGCATTGGATGACGTTCATTGTAATGCCCTTTCTCTTTGTTTTGAAGGAGGCTTTGATGATCCTTGGTCCATGAGATTCCCATCCAATAAGTGCATTTTGTGCTTTTCTGGACAGCACCAATTCAAATCCTTGTGTACGTGGGGCATTTTCTTCTTCATGACCGGAGTACAACAGAAGTTCTCCTGAAGACAGTCGTTGTTGTCCAACCTGCGTCCAATGTGTTTCGCTGATTCCAAGAACCTCCAGGTTCTATTTTCTCATTTCTGCAGCAATTTGGAAGACTCTTCCGGTCTCCCACATTGTTCGGACATTCCATGTACCTATAAAAATTTTCGCTCTGGTTGTAAGAAGGTGCATCGGCCTCATGACTTCCGAAGGAACTCGGCTTTCATCATGAGACGTCATAATTATTCCTTCTACTCCCAGGGCAGAGTTTGAAAGGTTTGAATGATTTTTTCTGGTTAGCGTTTTTTTAGCGAGTTGATTTTCTACGGGATGGGGTCGCTAACCCCATGCCCAACCCTCCTCCTTTACCCGGGCTTGGGACCGGCAGTAACCCCCAGAGGAGCTACAGGCGGAGTTATATATATATATATATATATATATATATATATCAAGGACTCCTGCGCCGGAAAAATTACTCAGAACCTTCATCTTCACGCGGGAACGATTAACCTTTTAACCATTGAGTTACGTTTCAATGGTATACACGTCTCGCTTCAGTTAATCCGCTACATAGCTCGACTATCTTTCATTGTTTTCAGTGGGCGATTCACACCTGGTACGGTTGAAGCCGTAGTCAGCAAAGCTCAACTGGAGACAATGGAAAAATTAAACAATATCGCGGATTGATTGAAGCTAAAATTACACATCATAAAATTCCGGCTCATTGGTCTAGAGATAAGTTATTCGCGCGTAAACAAGGCTCTTGGGTTCGATCCCCATGGGCGTGTACACAGATAGACACTGATAAGGAGTCCAATACTCAGACGAAACAGCTGTCCGTTGCTTCCAGGTTTTCAGTGGTTGTCTGACTTAGATCTATCTGTGATTTCAATAAAAATAGAGATGATATGTTTCAATAGTTTTTAATGTAAAATAATGGTTATTACTTATTCTACGAAAACACTATAATTTTTGTGAATGGTATATGGTTATCGACTACCAGATAATGAACAATCACGTAATTACTATGAGTAAAATATATTTATAGATCCTTTCAAAACATAATCTTGTACATACAATTCAATATTATTTAATACTTGACAGGAAGTGGAAAATAATGAACATATACAAATGAATAAAATCGAAAGCGTTGGTATACACTCATTCAATACTGAATAATAGACATTGTAATGTAATTTAATTTGATCATATTGATTAAAATCAGTTGACTGTTTATGCGATCTGACCTGAGGTTTACAACTCAATAGCCCACACGTTATTGGAACCATTTAATGTGACAACATTTTGAATACAATGTGCCTATCATAAACCATAGGGTAACATAGCCCATGGACTAAGTACACTAACATCAGTAAGGTAGTTGAGTTGCACATGATTTATATTTGGCGTTCATCAAGGTTACTTAAGACTAAATAATAAGCTGTTTGAAAAAAGATCATTTCGAGAAGTAACGTCATAACTAAAAACGTAGAAGGTTGGTATTCTAAAACTTATATTCTCTTAGATAATATTTTTATTTATTAACGGTTGGATTTACTCTATAAATTATGTCATAAATGTAAACTTGTGAAGCGAAGCTAAAGATCACCGACCTATAATCGCGAACTCAGCTAAGATATAAAACACTTATGGAAAACCTCGTATAGCATAACACACGTCAAAATCTTCGTAGGGGTACATAACGTTCGATAAATTCCATCGATACATGATCTATGATCTCTTTGAAGTCAATCAAATCACGTAAGTAGTATGGACGATACTGAATGAGATGAAAGCATTATTGAAAATTAACTGAAGTGGACAGTATAAGTAAGTGGATCCCTTAATGATTTTGAGCTCGCCGCAAGGGCACGAAAGTTCTATATCCGCTTTAAACAAGAACAAGACAGCTGGCTGGTACTTTCTAGTTTCCAATTATTTCTCGGTTAGTAGATGTTTACAACTCTCATTTAAATTAGAAAAATATTTCGACTAAACCATCAAAACAAGAAGTAAAGAACGATAAATATTACAAACATGTGCCTGATTGTGTTTACCATGGAAGTATTTAAAGTTCTCACTAGAAAACCATATGACATTCAATAAGAGAATACCATCAACTAAAAAAGATACCAAAGGCATATTACATTACCGTTTAATTAAAATTGTTTGCTGATAATGAGAATAATCAGCAAATCTATAACCTATTAGTTTATTAACATACGCCATACTATTAAACTCAATATTATTACTCAATAAATGAACAAATTGAACAAATACTCATGTTGCTATTTGTTTTAACTTGTACAGTAAATGTGAAGTGAAATGAATGCTACTGGTGGACAATAACATTAAAAAAACATTTACGTACTTTTTTCATATATGGTTGATCAACGTCTTTTGGTTCTAAAATTAGTCTCAATGGTTGATCCAATCGATGGCAGAGCTGAACCTGATAACACTCACATAAACGAGCATCTCTAAGGATAATCACAAACGAAGAGAATAGATTAAGGGTAAACAGAAAGCAAAAGACAATCATAGTTTGAGGTTAAGTAAAATGAAATATAGAATTATATAGTGTTACGCATCGGATTTTTAAGGAAAATTGGTCGAATAGGGTATATCAAAGTTTGCAACTTGAGAACAAACGAAATTGGCGTATGAATCAAAAATAGTAGATTATTCATAAGAGCAACATAGAATCTGACACATTTTTTGGTAGGACAAATGTCCCATCTAGTTGTGACCGATTGTGAGCCACATTATACACAATATCTCAAAAGACAGATCATGATTATCGCGTGAATCCCAATCAGGTAGTATGCATCTACCAACATGGCTTAGATCAATTGTCAATGACTTCATGAACGGGCGACAAGTTGTGCTTTAGCCGTTCTTAATATTTTTACATCATTTACCCAAACAAGCCAACATAGCGCGTCATGGTAGGTGGTGGTCGGTGACACGTAATACATAAATCTAACTATCTCAATCAGAATAACAACAACAAAAGCGGGCTCACACGAACGTGTAGACTATTACCACAGGAATTTGTTAAGTTGCATACGTGGAACGTAGTGAAAATGTACCTGATACAAGTAGTATTCTGATGGCCAAGAAGGAAACACTGGGTCACTGTTATATACTGATAAAATAACTTTAACTCTGAATACAACCGAGAATACTGTTGCTTGTCTCACTCATTTTCTAACCAATAGGTCATAGGTTACATCAGTGTCACACTTGCTCCCATTTAGACACTCCTTGAGCAACCGAAGTGTAGCTCAAAGCCGAATACGTACGCCTGCATTTGTAAAATAAGTTGATATTTTTACGTTTACACATCAGAAAAATTCAATTATAATTTGGAAGTTAAGCCATCAATATATATTATTGTTTAACTAATTGAAATCAATTAATCAGATCGAAACTAACCAATCCGAATTTACTCAACTTCACTGATGATAAATGAACAAATACTAACATGACCAAAGTTGGTCATATGAGTTTTGCAAACAAACTGTCAACGCGTAATCGTGTTTTATTTTGTCATATTTCTGGAATTGGTTGTAAAAGTATCATTTGTTTGTAAAACGGCACTGTGAAACAAAGGACCGACACATAACAGACCTTTACATATTAAATAAACAGGATTCTGTGTTACAACTTAACGCTTTAGAGTCATATTTAATAGTGACAGTATATCGAAATTGAATTTCACAAACAACAACCAATGGCACTTTTTAGACAGGTAAATCGCAACAAGCTTTGACAATCGGAGATAGTTTTCAGCACAGTATGAAACTATTGATAGTCAGAAATTACACAATGCTAGTCAAGATATATCGTGAATAGGATTAAATTAAAAATATCAACCACTGCACACACTTCAGTCGGTTCAAATTATTGATGAGCACCTAGCTCTGAAGAAGCAACTGCTCAGTCTTTCTTAAATTACAGTATTTCTCGAGTTGACCTTAATCCATAATGAGGACTATCTTCATTAGGTGACTTTGGTCTAGTTAGTCAAAAAGTTTATTAAGTCCCATCTTATTTTATAATTTTAATAATCAAGTAAAGAAATTAGTTGCATTTATCATTTTACTAAAATACTTTCAATAGGAATCAGAAAATTATGGAGAAATACAGATAGTTGTAATAGATAACATTACTGTTAATGCCTAACAACGAAATAATTCATAGATTATCCTTTTAGATTATTCTTTATGGAGTTAACGAATGTTGAAACGCTGACTGTAACACACTACTACACTACAGCTTTAACTCTAAAAGTAAATTTCAGTTTTTCAAAAATAAATATCCTTTAGTAATTTTATGTTAACCCTATGTGTGACACTCTAAATTACTTAAAGTTAATTTCAATATACTTGAAATATCGAAAACGCGTACCTATCATCCTGAATATAATTATCCCTAATGGATTCATACTTGTCTTGGTTATCAGTCTTTTCATTACTTCTGTACATCACTAAACTGTCATAATTTTGTGTTTGGTTCTAGTTTATTTCATCTTTTCTTCTACCTTAATCAGTGTGTATTGATAATTTAAAATCTCAGAATTATTTCACAATCAAAATGACACATTCTGTTTCTTATAGAGAACTTCAAATATTCATTTCAGATTTCCTAATCAGTATGAATGGTTTATCCCTCATTTTCGATCTTTTGATCATCATAAAATCACATTTAAATGTAATGGCTTGTATTTTGAAACTTTATTTGACACCCAAAATAAATGTCAGAATTTACTAACTTTTTACATAATTTTTATCGATGGTGTTCAAAGGTTAAATTTGTGTAAACTATACTGGGTAATAGTTAACACGAACTAATCGATAACTTACTGTATAAATATAACACTTACGATATCATAAAATTAATGTTCCTTGTCAAAGTGTAATTAAATATTATCAAAGATTGGTAAAACGTCAATTTCTATATCACTCACAATACAATTAATTACGTTCTCGGTCATCATATCAAATTTCTTTAAGTACTTGTCAATATTGTCATGAGAGGTGACAAAAAGCAACTACTACTAGTATTGCTACTTAGATTTTATAACAAAATTGATTTGTAAAAAAAGGGAAAAAACAACTTACGGACGTAATAATTCAGCTCTTCCTTGAAGACGTAATTGAAACTGATTGACATCGAGAACAATTTCTTGTGGAATTAAATCATTAGCAAGTGCTTCCAACATAAGTTCATTGACCAATGTAGATGTAGCTAATAAATTCAATACAAGTAAGAAAACAAAAAATACAAAACAGATAAGAACTTTTAATTATCATTATTATATAAACAGTAAGTACTAATTGTTACTGAATTGATCCGAATATTTTTTTTAATCAATAATGATGATCTTTAGTTTGATTTATCGAGCGAAAAATAAAATAAAAACCCATCATACTTTATTTATTTAATATGTTGAATGAAAAAAAATTGTTAACACAATGAACATTTTAGCCAAGTTCAATGTTATTAATAAATGACTGATTAACTAACTTATTAACTAAATGAATCTTAAAACGATGTAACAATTTTCATAGTGGAATTATAGTCTAATGGTTTAAGCACTTGATTTATAAAAAATAGATTAAATTAACTAATTAGTTTAGTTCTGCATTAAAATCAGCCTAATCTAACCTATAATCCAAATTCACATAAATAATGCATGTAGATATCAATGACCAAAATAGATCAGTGGTTATTAATCGTTAATTTACGTTAGAGAAATAAGGCGATACCAATAATTCATCACATTATGTTGTAATTGACATCACGTAACAATTGCAGTTAGACAACTACTGAAAACCAGTAGCGTTGAACAAGCTTGAAAACCCTGAGTTTGATCCCTCATGAGCTAGAGGTGGTGTATTTCGGAGAAATGATTTATTACGAAGAAACAAACCCTTTATAACTCACGAACTAATATGTCCAATAAATATAAAAGACATATATATCATATAGAATACACTATTTTTGATCACTCTTACTGAGATATTACACAAAAAAAACAGTTAACAGAAATTACTTACGATCACAAACTAAACGTAACCGAGGGTTGACTGGAGAATTATTCGTAGTTTCTGAATTGACTGAGTAATTTGAATTGTTTGTAGTGTAACTTTGATATGACTTTTTTCTAGTATTTAAATGAGCAGTAATGCGTACTTCTAATTGAGGAATACACCAACGTGGTGTATTAGTCCAATGAGCAGGAGTGTTATGTTGAGAAGTGAAATATTCTTTACATCTAGGATATATATATGATACATTAGAAGTAGCAGTTTCCGCCTTCCATAACGGATTCAACTGTTGATATCCAGCTGAGTTAGAAGTTAACGAAAGTAAATTAATGCTTGTGTGAGAATTTTTCAACATAACATTTGCAACAGAATCATTATAGACATAATCATATACCCAAGTGTCTGGGGGTGAATACACAGTTACGGGATTATTTTCATTTTGTTCAGAATCACAATCAAGATCATTGATCAATGTAGACGGTTTTGGCTGATCATACTTTTGCCTTCGCAGGCTACAAAAGATTTTAAGAAAAAAGAAAATAACTACAAAAACTTCGAATCACTAATTGCTTGTTTGAGAATCTAACAAGAAAATTAACATTTTAGTGTTAATGAGTTTACTGCAATATTTAAATTACGCACTTGTTTTCCTGTTACTGTTAAACTATCTAAGTGGAACAAAATTTAGTAAGCATACTGGGTAATCAGTTAGTTGCAGACAGAACTGAGCCTAGTACAAATATGCATTGGACCAAATTGCTATACAACTTTATCACAGCGAGACGACATCAACAAAATGAATACCAAATAAGTCGAAGTAATTGTCTTAGCAATGACAGTAAAAATTCAGAGACTTAAGATCAAAAATTAAGAGTAAATATATCTGGGATACCTACAGCCTATTCTGAGTCATGTGAATCAACGCCTCCGGCCACAGGCGACTGTCACAGAGCAGATCCCAACCAGGTAGTCTGCATCTACCAACGAGACTTATACCATGAGTTAATGGCTTTACTTACTAATAGCACGTCTTGATTTGGCCATTTCTAGCTTTCTTCCAACAAATACTGCATGTCGAGGTAAGCAGTAGTTGGTCGGACACTAACGTTCAGTGATGCACTTGTATATTCCATTAACTAGTAAAATATGTTTTGACGACAATGTTAGTTTATTTAACAAGAATACACATTCCTCATACAACCAAGGAAAGACAGGAATTTTTAAAAATGCTTCATTCAAAATACGTATCAACGGCATTGCATATCATTATGTCAAGTCCTTAGTGTTGATAGGATTCGATTAATGAAGTCGCGATGTACCCACCAGTATAAGTGACTCAATTGATAGAATAATGAAATAACACTCTTCGAGTAGATACGTTACGTAATAATTATATGATGACATATCGATTATAAACTAACATTAATTATTTGGAAGAGAAGGATTAATACTAATCAGAGTTATTATTCGAAAATCAAGCTGTTGCTACATTGCATAATATGTAAAACAGAAGAAAGAACTAACAAAACATTTTGATGAATGGTCAGTAATATAGTAGTTATGTAAGAATCAAGAGACGAATGTAGAGAATAAGTAAAATACAAAAATACAAAAACTGAAAGAATAAAATAATTGTTTACCAAAGTTCTGCTACAAACAAGAATGTTTGTTGAAATCGACAACTTATTTTACATTGAACTGAGTAAATTGACGAATTAGAATGTATAACAAAATCATATAAAGAAATAATCAGTAATGTTAGTTTCAATTGATAAAATGAATGTATCTAAGATGGTATAATTGATTTACGGTTGAAAATACTTCCTTCACATTATTACAAATGAAGATGAGACAAAAAACTAAAACATCTCATTGGTATGCTGCAAATATAATACGATACTCACTCATCTAGAGCTTGGTAATCACATTGGTAAGTCACAGAGGCAGAATATGGTCAGTACCAAAGACTATTTAATAGTAAGTACCATGTAGTTGAATAATAAACGAAATGTATCCCAAATATTTCAGACGACAAAATTTAAACAGTTCATTTACTCGTATAATAACCTCGAACAAAAATTCGCAGTAGACCTTAGTGTTATTCATGTGGTGGATTTATTATATAATGACCAAATATTTGGTATTTTAAAACTTTGTATCCGATTGAACAAAATTATAAATTAATAAATGAAACATATGAATTTAAAAATGATTCCGATAAAATTTATCGTCCAAAACATAAAACCACAGATTCACAGAACACCTTTTCCAAAAAACAAATTTTTTGTTTTGATTTATTGGTATAAATAATAATTTATTGATGGATAGGCCTATAGTCTAATAAAAAATACTGTATACAGTATACTTTACAAATTCCAAAATAATCATTAAAATGGTAAAAAGAAATGATTACAAGAAAACATCATAAAATTTCTACAAAAGATACTATAATATTGATTCTTCTTGAAAATTTCTACTGTATAGTTGAAAAACAATATTGATTAAGTAACTTGGAATTGATTTTGAACGAAATTTTAAAAAAAAATAATCGATATTCATTATTCAACGAGTTAGTTAATCATCAGAAAGCTTTCTCTAATTATATTCATGTTTAAGTTATACGAAGAAAAAATAAGCAACATACATATTAAATTCAATATAAATGAAAATGACGATAGATTTAATAAATATTAGTAGTTCAGGCAAAAAATCAATAATCAATGTAATTTAATGAAAATATTAAACCAAAAAAAAAGTCACTAATCTGTATAACTAATACAATTGATACTATTCAATTTGAACTAATTACTTAAAATTAAAAAAATATATATCTAAACATTGTACAGTCAGAAACAGATGTATATTAAAGTACATTAATAATTTTACACGACTATAATTATATGTAAATTTGCGTAGAAAGGGCATCCAGAAAAACCAAAACCTCGCTTATTATACAAAAATATTGTAGAAATTCATTTTATATCTTTCTTGTGTGAGAATAGCTACCCCAGCAACCTTAATTAAAGGTGTCTAGAAAATCGATATACTACCCAAGAAAACTATGAACATGAACTCTGTTGGAAAAAAAACGCTGAACTAAGGGAATTCTACGAACGTCGAAAAATTTTCAAAAGAACAGTTTTCAGATCAGTAGATCCAGGCTGCATAATCACACAGAAAAGGACAATCCCTCACACGACTAGAGGTGAATCGGAACTCAAGATCAAATGATGATAAGTTGACCCACGAAAACAATCAATCACCAGAATTCATCAGGACGGGCTGATATGATATTTGATAGATAACTACATGGCTTACGTTCACGTGAAGCAGACGCTGATGACGCTGTCTAGAATGACAGTGAAAGCTTCGCATATAACGAAAATAACATCACCATACGTACCTGCCTGAGTTCCACATTAACTACATTATAGACAGAAAGTAAGTAAAAATACACTGGAAATTAAAAAATAATAATAATGTGCGCTTCAGTTTTATTATATTTTCAACTTGTAATAAACATATTCTTAGTCACGGTTGACTTCATTTACTTAATCTGATAGAATTTACTGTTTGATTAAAACCCCAGTACCATGTGTATATTGGAAGGTTATATAAGGATGGCATGCACAACATAAGATATGGTCACCCGAATTTATGTAGTTGCATTCATCTCACAATTGTTGTAACTTTAACATAATTTGTTACACTACATGGCTAGAATTGAGAACAACTGCAACAATTCACTTGAAATATCGTTCCTACTACTTCAACCAATCTTATGCAAAACAAAGGATGAAACGACAAAAAAAGAAAAGAAAAGCTAAGTGTCGTCCACAAAATAAACTGTCTTAAGTGCAAGAAACACTACATCTTCGTCTGCATGAATACCACGATGTAGTTTCCCTTATATCAGCGCATATGGACAATTGTGAACACATATTCAACCGGGCAAATGTTGAGATTTTGAATTGAGCGAATACAAAGAGCATCAAAGCTTGGTACTCAGCTCAATCACTAACCAATAAGCTAATCAAAATCGATCCACTTTACAGGTCAATCAGAAATTCCATAAACAAAAATAGGATAATGAAACAGGTCAAAGAAGGAGACAAAATAAACATGCAGACAACGACTGGTTAAAGGTCAAAAACAACCAATCAAGATCAAGGTCGACAGGACAAGCTTTCAATCATGTTTGAGGGAATCCAAACACTTCACTTCTATCTGGAGATTGTGCTGGTGATATTGCTCAGAAAAACAGTGAAAGCCTTACGATCACACACACATTGGGGAAAGCACCCGACTGCGTCACAAGCAAGCCCTCGCTTGGAATCTCCAAGGAGAAAGGAGAAGAGGAAAACCAAAGAACACATTAAGCCGAGAAATAGAAACAGATATGAGAAGAGTGAACAATAAATGAATAGAACTAGAAAGGAAGTCCCAGGAGAGAATGGCTTGGAGAGTATTGATCGGCGGCCGATGCTCCATTGGCAGTAACGGGCGTAAGTTACGATCAAACTATTCAGCTCAAAGAACGAAACCCCACCAACACCATTCAATTGAGCCACAAATCACCATCTCAATATATTTTCTTTGATGATTTATAGAGAATGAGCAAGTGCATTTATAATTAACTTATTGCCTATAAATGTTTCTTTAAAGTACTTCAAGCAATATGGTAAACAAAGTCCTTATATATATATATATATATATGTACCTGCATCTCACAGTTGATTTTCACTCTGGTAGATATATAGATATATGTTATTGTTGACATCAAATAAATAAAGCGAATATAATTGCTACTTAAATTTGCCGGTTAGAATAAAATTGAAAAACTTGTGATCTATTGTCTTTTTCTTATCAAAATGAAGTTTTATGTGAGCTTCATTGAAATGTCATTTTGCAATGAAACCCGTATTGTACAACATGCAATATATTAAGTGATCACTTGTTTACCCTGTTTTACAAAAGGATTGGGAAAATGTTCTTGCATAAAAACGGTTACTATGGTAATCGACCTAATTACGAAACCATTGTGGTCGATGTTCCAATCTAAAAATACTACAGTAGTAGTAAAGATAGAAGAGCTTAAAACTCAGATAAGAAATATTTGAATTTAAATAATAAACACTAAGATAGTAGATCAACATTTTAAACATTCTTGGTTTGGCCAAGCATACAATAGACCTATTCATTCTGTATTATTCATATACAACTAAAATAAAATATACCTCCCATGAACGCACATAGAATGTTCATGTGAGTAAGCAAAATCTATCGATGGATTGCCTTTGTTTGAACTATTTAGTCTGATTGTTTATCGATCTGAAAAAGGATTGACTAAAAAAACTAAATAAGGCTAACATAGTTGGATACCCTACTCACCTCAAATACATAACAAGAATGATAGGAACCTCATAGTTCAGATATGGATACTTATAACTTTTGCCTAAAACAGTCTAAGTTCAATACAAATACTGACAGGATTCAGAGAATCTTAGTCAATTGTGCTGAATACGTTCTTATGTATTTTTGACAAAGAGATGTATTGAGTAAAATGTTAGGTAAAGTTCAGAATGAAATAAAAAAGGACAGGTTCCAAAATATTTAATGTACACTAAAGGTTCTCCAAGAAAATAGTCACATCTAACCAAATCATTGTAAAGTCACTTATTTATTTAACCGACTAATGTAACCATAGTTTTACGAAAAAGAACAGTTTGGATCCATTATTCCTGGAACTTAAACGTTCACTACTCAAATATATTTATGGAGTTTTCACATGATACATTTTATGCTACAAAACTAACCAGTTGTACAAATAATAATAGACTGAGTCAAAAAACAGTAATTCAATAAGCATAAAACAACTACGTAAACTGTAAACATACATTATTAAGTGAAATAGTTTTGTAAAGGGTTGTTTAATCACTTAGTTACATACAACATGGGACCTGAAAAGCATACCTAACATTCCAGATGGCTAAAATCCACATTAGAACATGCATATTTGGAGGATGAATTTCATGAAGAACTGAGGATAGTTAAATGAATAGTGTAAACTGATAAATTACTGCTCTAATTTGGTACTCCTTGGGGATGCACATGTACAATTCTACAAGGGACCAAATGTTGAACATCTTCACGTCACATAATAAACACAACATCATTAAGTTACTGAATCGGAATCTAGTGTTATGTGTTTTCAGCTACCTGATTCAGGACATTTTTAACTCCATATGTCACACACAGTCAAACTGATTTTGAGTGATGTTAGAGGTATGAAGGCCGTTGACACTTGTCGGTTTCTGATACCGTGGAAAAATACTTCTCCTTAAGGTATGTTTCTGACGTAGGAGTAAGACCTTAGACCCCATGGGATAACTACTTGAGACTGTTCGCACGCGGTTTTTTGTGAATAATTTCCGATATGTTAATGCCATAGTTTTAAGGCCTTACTAACGGCGACAGGAACCTGTGGGGCAAGAAGAGATGTGCTGTTTCGATGGCAGCGTTATCTAATCCATCATTATATTGTGAAAATGCAGCATTTCTACAGCCGTTGGTTGTCTGCATAAAACACTAATGTAATTACATGTCTGTACACTAACCAGTACAGATTCGCACTACAACATTGAGATCGCTTTTTTAGTCTGTACACTCTCCAACCAGGTTGTCTGGCAAGGTTAAACATAAGGGAGCAAGTGTTCCAGACAATACAGCTTCAATAGGTCATCACAATAACAATGTCTGGCTTCCACATCAATGGTACCAGGTACGGTCAAGAAGCTTCCCATCAGCTCTTCTTGAAATCAATGTCAAATTTGGTCAGAATGATTAAAAAAGGACTATTATTACTATAAAATGGCTCTACGCATTTCGAAGGTACTATTTTCTGACTTCGTTGATGTTTTTTACAAGCTGAATTCACACTTTGGTCAGTCAAGATAATGCGATTATGTAGAATAAAGTTCATTAATAAACACAATAATCAGAATGATAAGTATTGTAAGTGAATACCCTGATCATTCAATTTTTTTAAAAATTGAGTATAGGACTAGTGATAAAAATATCTGTTCTTAAATGTGAACATTTCAGTTGTAAATAAAGTGTATAAAATGAAAGGCATAGACCCTTATAAATCTTCCTTTTTAGATAAAATAATTTATTACATGTTAAACCCATCTTCTAACAAATAAAGGTTTTAAGAAATTATAAGGCTACACTTACTAGTATATTATTAACAAGAAAACACGTGAAATATACACACCGAGTATATTTATACACCAGCCATATGATTATATATCGACTGATAATTTAAACATTACTGAAAAACATGTTGTTTCCTGTGTTGTTTAAACGTTTTTTTCATCTTACTCAAAATTCACTTGTTTACTTATATATACATGTTAGCCTATTGAATTGTAGTGAATTCTTTTAATTATTGTTATAACCTGAAATGAGTCACAATGCAGAGAACTACCTTTGCTTTTCGGAAAAAAAGCGGATAAAAGAGTTTAAAACCGGTAAAAAGCATATATCCGGTGTTTTTTTCAGCTTTCTATACTCCACCACCTGATGCCAGTTAATGGCGAAAACTGCCCTGTACATTGAAATTTTATTCAAACTAAGCCATCCAAATGAGTTTAAATCCTGACTAGTCAACGCTCGAGTGGCGATTGATTCAGCATCATTGCTATAATTATCACTTCATCCTACTTCGTTCTACTGTTTATAAAATATAATACTTGTTATTTGAGCAAGAAACATGACCAATCTTCCTTGCTGGCAATTAAAAATGTGTTGACTACATGGTCTAAGCACTCAGCCGAAACCTAATATCCATACGCATGTCAAAACGTTGTTTCTGCACACCTGCTAGATGATCAAATACAATGAGATGTCGGTATTTAAGAAATAAGCTGATTAGTCTGTAATTTATCAGTTCACTGTTTAATAAATAAATCACGGGAACTAATAAGAATACAATTCGATTGATATCATTTATTACTTACTTACTTACTTACGCCTGTTACCCCTGTGATAAACACATTCATAACCATTATTAATGGCCGCATTTAAATCAAAAACTATGTCTAAGCGATCGAAACATACACTGTCAATACCTTTATACATTTTATAAACAATTTCAAACGATTGCGTTTCCTTTTCAAAAATATTTAATTCGACAAACAGTTTACATGAAACCATAAACTTTATAGGCCTAGTCTGAAACAACTAAACATAATATACAGTATTATAGCCAATTGAAGTAACAATGGTAGTAGTACAGTATATTGCATGACTGGTATTCATCATGATAACAATAGAGTAGATAAATTATTCGGACAAAGTTAATAATGAAAATCAATAGATAATCAATTTCAGTAATTCTGTGAGTAATGCAACGGGAATGAAAAGAGGAACCACTATTGGATGATATTAAAAAAATTCTATCTCGCTAATTCAGTAGCATATTTTTTCATTTCAATACGATTTGAAGACACTTTCCGTCAGAAGTTGACAGCAGCCAGAAACATTGGTTTTAAGGTTACCTCTAATCTTTGAGTTTCACTTTGTTTTTTGCTTGCCTTTTTTATTGATATCCCTTCTTGATAAAACATGCAGTTAAACTCGGCAATAAACTTCCGACTCACTTCCCCTGAAGTTGGTGGATTATATAATCAAGTAGTCAGTAAATGTGTATTAATGAAAGCCTGAATTAGTAAGATGCTCAATATTCGGCTTCATAATCAAAGTATATTCAATTAAATTTTTACATCTCAATTGAGATGAAAACAACCAGCTTTCACTGGAAATTTTTTAGGAAGAATCTATAATCTGTTAAAAAATCAGACATTCTTTCGGATGGATCTCTGCTAACTAACTGATAATCAATGCAGTTATCATGAGTAATGAAGACAAGAGTGAAAAAGCTATACCAGACCAACAAACAGCATATTTTTATCAAGATAAACTACATGAAGAATACTGCAATGACTATTACTTAACGTAAACATATTCCACTTTCCTGGAATATCAAATTTATCTACAAATTAAGCTCTTATTGAATACTTTTTTGAAGTCATTATCCCTACTTGATAATATCAAATGTTTATTACTCTCATAAGTATCGAAAAGTTGTACAGATGGATCCACTTTTTTACAGTAGTTATATATATATATATATATACATCACAGAAGTCATGATGACCACAGGATTAACAAATCCACCTACTGATTAATCAACGAACGCGTTAAGCTTAAAGCCATGGTTTTGAAACAGTTGCACAACCAGGCACTACACTCGATCGTTATCTATCATAAGTTAGTGAATATTATTGTTAACGTTTTAAATGAACAATTATTCCACAGAAAATAGTTATATCGAGGACACAAGCCTTTATTTCACTGAGAAATGCGTAGAGAAGTAGGAAAAATATTTATAAAAATGAAAGGTGTGGTTGAAATTCAACTACATTAAACATAATAAAGTTGTGTGAATACCACACGTACAATTAACTGGCATTTAAATAGCTTATTGAGCGAAGCGCTTAACTTTTAACCACTGAATCGAATACTTAAAATTCAGTTCAAAAATTTCGGTATGAGTAGTCTGTTGAGTATGAAGAGACTCAATAATATAGCAGTTATTATAATAAAAACTAAATGACTTTTTCTCCGTTTTTATTATAATTAGTGGTTTTATTCAATATTAGATGTTTAGTATAATGTGGAATTCTCAAATTGAAGCAACAAATCACTAGTGCAGATCAGAAGTAAACTAACCTTTCAACAAAACTAACAAATAGTTTTAATTCATCTGTAGGTTGACTGTTAGCAACAAAATGAGTCAGTTGTATTGTTGAAGACAATCCTTCTTGATTAATCGTTGCAGAATTAGGATTATTTTTATCACCCTTACGAAGACACCACGGAGTAACAGTTTGAGAAAAGGAAAACAAATCCAGTTGATTTCCTTTCAAATCCACTTCATCCGAACTGGTGCTAACCTACATAAATAGACAGTGAAAGCCAAGTAAATTAGGAATGGAAACCCTATTAAATTACAACAGAAGTAGCAAGTAACCTACATAAAGTTGGAAGTTGTCCTTGAAACAAAATAACCAGAGATCCTGGTGTGATACACTCTTATCAATTTACCTTTCATGTTTATTGCAAAAATTGGCTGAATATGCTGGTCGGTTTATGTCCATCTAATCTACACTGACAGACAAGTTCAGAAGGCACTTATGTGATCGTTTATACAGTAGGTCATGATGACTTCTAAACCAGCCATCTGCAAAAACACAGAATACAGTGGTATCGAACTCTCTACCTTGAAGGCTATGTTGTAACTGGGCTTCACTTGATAAACAGTTTTCTGTTTGCGAATATTATTATGTGATTCTAAAGACTACTATAGAGTAAGAATATCTTTGTCACTCGGAGTAAAACAGTGGTAGTGCAGACTGAATGCGTGGACATGTCTCATAAAAACATTCAGTTGAGAAAAATTCACTGACCGAACACTTTATTTACATTCATTGCCTATTCCTGAAACTTAATCAGCTTGAATTATCAATGGTTTCCAGACGATGTTTTAAGTAAGTTTTATTTCTACGACCACAATTCATTGTATGTTGATATTAGATTTACTTACTTATCTATTTAAACACAAACATCGGTACAAGGAGGTACCAAATAGACATGCGCCACACGTCATCATTATATTTGTGTGAAGGCTAGGATACTGCCCGGACACTCAAAGCGAAGCAGGTGGTTTTCCCAGGAGGCCATGCTCTGAACCTTTGACATAGAGACCTAATTCACAAGGCAGTGGAGCAACTTTAGGAGATGCAACCCCATGGTGGCCGGTGACTAAGAATAGGTTATTACGCCATTTGTTCTCTCAGGATCCTAAGGGCTACGTACACCACTGGTTTGGAATCAGAATTTTTCAACTCCACTAGGTGGATCCTTCATATCCAACAACCCACTTTAAAGCTCTAGACATCCGCTTTTCGTCCCCGCGACTTTATAAACAACACTCCAGCTGAGAAAAAGGCAGTAGCCGCATACGCGTAGTCATGTGAGAGCATTTCGAGAGTGAGAGTGAACTCTCGCCACCCTACGTCGTACCAGGGCATTTGGGGGCAACCAAAAGTTATAACTAACCATAAATGCCATATTAATATCAACATGTTTACATAATTTCACTTAATATTGTACAGTACAGATAACGCTAGCTGAACTCATGTAGCACAACAGACCGAGATAATGTTTAGTGTTTAATACGACTCTGAAAAATAACGTCTTTAAGTACTTAGCTTTTGGCTAAAAAGTTTTTAAAGAGCCTAGTGATACTTTCTGGTTGGCCGAACCGAAGTAAGTAGGTGTGAACTCGATAACCCAGTCGACAGAGTGCTGTTGTTAAATAATTTCTACAGCTTTCCTGGAAACCTAAGCAGTACCCAGATACTAATAATCTTTCACATTTTTTTAATCCACTAACTGCCACAAAAATGGAATAATAGTTTAACTTCAAAAACAGTTGTTAGCTAGATATTCATATGCAAAAAAAACCAAAAGTTAATCAACGTTAGAAGATAGTAAAAACATTGAATAATAATATTCTCAAACTCCTAAACTTTATATTTTATAGATCAGACAGAAACATTTTACGGTTTGAAAACTTGCATTTTGCGCATCTGTCAATTAAATTTTAACTAAATGATGATGTGGATTCAAGGGCTTCAGAATTATCTTTATTTCTTTATTTTTCTAAGATAAATTTAAAGCTACAAACGCAAACTTTGCCGACAAACAGTTGAAACTCAAGAATATCCTACGCATAATGTATCGTTTCATACATTACGCGAAACTGGATAGACCAAAGAGGAAAGAAACACAGAGGTGATTTACCTGAGTGAATAGCGCATAAAACCTACCTCCTTCCTCTCGTTTCATCCTCTTTTGTTTTCCGAAGCTTCGTTGTGACAGTAAATGTAATACGCTAACTACCAGTTGCAAGAAAGAGGATGAGAAACATCAACGTTCATACGGTACCAGATTTATGTGAGACAGATATAACAACGTTCAACTGATTTAAATATAGGATTGACCTACAAAAGACAACGATGCAACACGAACTGGTGCATGCAACTGCCAACAGTTTGTAGCCCATTTGGAACTGAAACTACAAAGAAATTTACGTGAGCTTCCAAGAATTATCTTCGAAATCACTCCAAATAAGAGTGCTAAGTAGTCGGTTATCAAAAACCAAGGACGTTTTGAAACATATCTCTTGACTTTGATGTTCACGAGGTATAAATATTTGAAAATCGTGTCATGGTGACAGCTTGTGGCGTACTGAGGACAGATAATTTTATCTCACCGTGGTAATGTGGAATTACAACTTGGAATGATGCTTGTGTGTCAAATTCTACGTTATGTATGTTTGGTTGACTGAGAACAAATATGGTATTCAGTAATTGGCAAAGGAAAATAGTCTTTGGAAAACAACAGAATCAAAAGTCAAAGGACTTAAAAACTTTGAACTACGTCGCAACACCCTTCTTATTTGGAAAAAAACGAACTACAGTAGCACAACCAATTAATTGTTTCAATAATTAAGCACCTGTTTGATGACATTTCAGTACACCCAAATGGTCATCAAAACTTGAAAGTCAAAATATAGTGGATATTTATGAAATAATCGACAGATTTAAATTAAGAAGCACCAAAAACCCTCATACAAAGATTCATCACACACAAAAATATCGACAGACTCCGAATATCTGACGATAGTAGAGCTTCGTTGACTAACCTCTTACACAAGAATCTCATACTTGTGATTTAGTTTTTTTGAAATGTAAAGACCATGGAGGTGAACAAAACCAAAAATGGTGCAGAAGCCAAAAACATTTGTCTGAAAATCTTTGTTCTCATAAAGTTCACGGTGTTTCCATCTAATGGGAAGTTTATTAAACCATTCTTTGTTGATCAGGTCCCTTAAACAGTATATCAAAACAATGCGAATGACTACATACAATCAAAAACATGAATAAGATTATGATCAGCTTCGAAGCTTGTTTTATTTCCTCACCATCTCAAAATAGTTAAAGTCTGCAATTACTCACCTGTGGCTTCGCTGAAAAGGTATCTTCTTTCACATCCATAACTGATGGAGAAATAAGTTTTCCATCAGATAAATAGAAATCTTCATGTTCGGGAACATTATTAGCATCTTTCGCTGTGTGAGGAAGAAGTAATTCATCTATTTTCACGAGCTGAGATCCAATCGAATTCGATGAATAATCCAACACCAAATCAAAAGGCGAATGATGCTTAGTTTTGCATTCATTTAAGGCATCCGAAGGCTTGGAAAAAGGATTGAGAAAAGTATGACTATTTATTTCGTTTTTGTCTGATGTCGGAATTAAGGGGTCGAACATTAATTGTATCTCCGAAAACTTATGAGTAGGACAGTTAAAATCGCAATCAAAATCGATCAAATCCTTTGACTCGTTAGACTCATTTATTGAGTTAGACATTATGGCAACTAAAACCTATATTATCTACGATCTACATATTAGGCACAAAACATGTTAGGTCGGAGATTTGAATAGTTGGCTGATTACATGTATCTGTCACGACACAATAAAAGTACGTCAGGAGAACCTGATATGTCCGACAACACTTGCATGAAGAATATTTTTTCCATCAAAGAAGTGGTTATATGAGCCGTAATAACAATCTTTTAATGATGGCCAATCTCACACTGGATATGCTAAGCAACGCAATCACGGATGTACTTATGTTTTCGTGGTGAGTTAGTGTTAACGAAGTAATTCCCTTGCGCTAGCTTCTTTGTGTCGAGATATAGTTTCAGATTTCTGATAAAAAACAATAATTACAGTCCAGCCATTCTGTTGCACTAGTGTTAGTGAATTCGACAGCACTTTCTGGGTTGATATTCCTTAAACTTAAGGGAGTATATATGTGGGGGTTGTTTGTGGAGATTTCTAGTAATTTTTATATGTGGTTGAAATCGTGAGTCAATTTAAGCTAGACCACCATGGAAAACCTGGAAGCACTGGACGGCTGATTCGTCCTACGGTAGAAGACATTATCAATTGGACGATCACGAATGTTTCCTACACGCATTACGCATAATGAAGCAGAAACTCGGAGCATAACTAATTGGCCGTTATACACGAAAAACGAGATAAAAAGGGGATATTCTGAGGAAATTTTCTACACACATTAGTCGTTCAAGTAATTCAGAATCCCCACGATTGTTCCAGGCAGTGGCTTCTTGTTCCGGTTATCAGACACCAGTATTGCTTTGTCGTGCTTATTAATTATCTAGGATTATGTTGTGATTCCGGAGATCGCGTCAGAGCCTCTAGGTTCTTACTGATGGTATAGTGTTTGGGGTCACGATACAGACTCAAGCTGTCCGCGTGACGCGATACTATCTGCGAAAACGCGAATGCCAAATATTAAGGTGGTTTGAATTAAGACCCGTTGATTATTGTCGAGTAGGAGCATGTTTTGCCCAAAGCTTCACTTTTGTGAAGCTGGAAGTCAAAGTGTTGTGTTATTAATGTGTATGTCTACTGTGCATCTAGAGTCAGCTATCACTGACGAGCAAATTGACAGCAACACGCGTGGGAGAGTGTAAATCCATTCCGACACATTTTCAGCCGAATGTGAAGCTTTCAAATATCGGTGAAACCATTCTATGAAACTACTGGTATGTGAATGTTAGGTGGCCGGCTACCAGCCTTATGAAACGATCCACATTACTTGACAGATTTCGACGTTTCATCCTGGTGAATATCCTACCTAATCAACACGAACATGGCTGAAGCAAGCGTCTGAAGCTTTGGAATAATTAAGGACCATTAACTTGGATTTCTGTAAATTTTAAAAGAAGCGTGCCCATTTCTTAGCGTCTTTTTTCATACCAGACTAGCAAAATAAATCTTCTATGAGCTTGATGGTTACAGCGTATGAAGAAATCGTATCGACAATGTTTCGGCACGAATGAACGATCTCTACCTGTGGATATGTCACGTAATAAAATTCACAAACATTTGACCATATTTTTAGTTTGTGATTTCAGAGTTATTAAAGATAACTCGTGCTGAGTTTCGGCACACATTTTGAAAGCTGGGCGACTGTACGAAGATCGGTCCCTAAGGACTGTTCAAAGAGTTGTGGTGTCTGTGTGAACCAATGATTCTTTCGTACTCGGTGTGTGTCTGATTTCAATTGCTCACCTAGTTCTACCTGAATTAGATTATGCTTTTTCGAAGATTACTGGTCTTTAAAATAGTTAGAACACTTCAGATTATCACCGGAAGTTTTTTGAAACAAGGCGTTTGCAACTACTTAGTTTGCAACAGAAATGTATTGCATATCTGAAGCTAACTAATAGTTGTAGTCTAGTTGTCGAAACATTTTAGGGGAGTACTGGTCTGAAGATGATCTTAAAGACAAAATAAGAGGTTTGTGACAGGTGAAAAGAGTGGATTCCCGGCATTTCACAAAGTGTTGAAAGTGCCGTAGAGCATAATACGTGGTTAGGAGTTCCCTACCGAAGTGCTATACCTCGATCCGGTGTCTAGTAACCATCTCGAGAAGTTCATCAAAGGTTAACAAGTGTAGTTTATCCATTGTTGTAAGGCTCCGCCAATCGCCTACTTGGATGCGTCTATGGCAATATTAATGATTGCATTTGTTTTGAGGTGTCCAATTATAGTTGAACTTGCTATACTATCTTCATTGTCGTCCTATTTGATGATTCGGCATTTCCTCTAAGCTTGTCTGTTTTAATGAAAACATTAGAAACGCTCCGTTCAGTATGAATCGTCGGCAAAAGCTTATCAGTCAGTTGAATGCCCACAGCTGCTTCATTATTGTCCGTTTTCAGCAATCAAGAACTCTCCACACTTTATTTTTCACGGTGAGAATATTATGGCGTCAAAGGCGTACCCGACAAACTTGAGGAAGTTAGTCCTGATCTGACGGTTCTGAACATTTGCAGAAACTTCACGATTTTATAGTGACCTATATACAGAAGATGGAAACCTACACATAGACTTGTGATTAGGCAGCCACCGAAGAGGGTTACAGGGGTTTTAATGTTTGTCTTGACTAAGTCGAGCTTTTCAAAACACGTTCGAACTTTTCAAAGCAGCTGTTAGATAGTAAATGTGAGATAATAAATAAGGACCCAAGGTAGCTTTTTGTATGAAGTCATTGACAATAACTGTTGGGACTCCAGCTGTCGCCATTCTTTTGAGACCGTGTGCAGAGATGCTCATCGGTTACTTGATGGCTGTTTGATTTCCAAATCTACCATGCGATGGAATTCATTTCGGCTAGTTATATCTTCTAAGGAGTCAGTTGGGATGAATACAGGTGGTCCTTTTGTTTTGATGTGGCGTGCAACATTGCCGGTCACACACGATAATCGAGGTCTTGTTTTGTACAATTCAGAATACTTGTCAAGCATCGGCTGTTGATCATAAGTCATATTGTGACGGGATAATATCGCTAATGAGGAAGTAAAACTGAACAAACAGATTGTTTAGTATTTCAGTCCACTAACCTCAGCTTGTTTAGTTGATTACTAGGTTATTGAATTGTACCAAGTACATGACAATGATGGGACTTGAGACATCTACAATAATAAAGATCCGGTGAATGCATTAGTCTAACCTACGTCAAGATCAATGTACCTTAAACCGTAGTGATGATTGGTTTCCCTTTTTCAGCCCGTAGATCGAAGATTGAGCCTAGAGACAATCAATGGTATTAAAGACAAAGACGCTAGCCTCTGCATGATATGGTGCACCTCTATCACCTCATAAGTGATATATGACAGTTATACTCACTGGCTGAAATTGCAATTAATGCATGCCAGCGGAAGAGTCGTATGTGTGGTCTATTGTATCCTCTCACAAAGCATCAATAGTAAACGTACTAGGCGTAACCTGTGTATTGAACCGGCGCGGCATTGTTGAGAGGAGCTTCAAACCTGTGCTTGCTGTGTTTTCGGTCCCAAACCACGCGAATTTTGAAGCAGAACATACGATAACTGAGAATAACATTCAGCATTTAACACAGAGGAAAGGTTACAGATGGTGAACATGGGGACACTTAGTCAATATGGCAAACGCCGACTGTGAGAAGTAGCCATTTCATGTAACCCCTTTGTTTCCACAAAAAATATCACTCTATCCCCATCTGAGATTTATCCATTAATAGTCCTGGGTACCGTATTTCTGGCCACCACGCTGGAACGAGTCAGCGTAGACAATGATATGTCTTCCAAGTAAGACCTTATAGGTTAGGTAGTCACTTCACGGTAAATCCATAATTTTGGGATCAGGTCTATTAATCCAGTAGTAAAGGTGACTGCACTTAATACCGATTGAGATATAACAATATTACAGGTATTTCACGTCATATTCATGGAAGTGGGCTTCTGCATAGCAGGACCAAGCATCAATATTAACGGGCACAAAAGTAAAGAGTTGCAAGGTGAGTGGCTTGGGAGACTTAACCTTTGAAAGATTGGGTATGTATCCAGGCTTATTAAAAAATACATCGATGTGTGAAATAATCGGAGAATACGAAAGTAGTATCAGAATGTGTAACCTATATATGTATATTGCCAGTGTGAAATCAAAACCGTAAGTAGTTGTTCATAATGCTTTCTCGACATCGCCATGAATCTTTGTTTTCATTTGACAATTACGCAACGTGATTGATTTAAGTGATGGAACTAAGAACTAAAGCATTATGTAATCTGCATAATAATTATTTCTACAAATAGTGTTATTTTTTTACCATAGTTACCTTTATCTAACACTGGCGGTTCCAAAGAAAACTATTTTTTCCTTGTCGATTGGTTTCTTATTAAGTGCCATGAAACTTTGTCAGTTTGATTAGAAGTTTGACGACAGCCATTTATGCGAATTATTGTAGTAATCTGTCGAGCGAATCTTTTGCAAACTGAAGGCATCACTATTGTTTTAATATAAACACAAACCAAAAGTTCATACCATTATCACAGAAACCGTTTGAGAGTTGTACTCTCAATGCCTGATCATGTGCTCACCCTGATCATCATATACCACTGCATTAACTGGAAACATTTTACATATCTTGTGTTACACTTAAATAAATTAACTTCCCGGAATCATTTTGTTTTCACTATGTATATATGACCCATAACCCCGCATGTAGCTCCTCCGGGGGTCACTGCCGGTCCCAAGCCCGGATAACTGAGGAGCGTTGGGCATGGGGTTAACGACCCCATCCCGTAGGAGACCAACTCGCAAAAAAACGCACACCAGGAAAAATTATTCAAACCATTTAAACTCTGCCCTCCAAGTTGAAGGAAGAATTGTGACTCCTCATGATGAAAGCCGAGTTCCTTCGGAAGTCAAGAGGCCAATGAACGTTTTAACAACCAGAGCAGTAATTTTTTTAGGTACATGGAATGTCCGGACAATGTGGGAGACCAGGAGAGTTTTCCCAATTGCTTCAAAAATGAGTAAATACAAGCTGGAGGTCCTTGGGATCAGTGAAAAACATTGGACGCAGGTTGGACAACAACGACTGTCTTCAGGAGAACTTATGTCATACTCCGGTCATGAAGAAAAAAATGCCCCACATACACAAGGAGTGGCATCGATGCTGTCCAGAAAAGCACAAAATGCACTTGTAGGATGGGAATCTCATGGACCAAGGATCATCAA